CCAATATTAATTATTTGGGCCCAGGTTTTGGGGTGTTCTTACCCTTTCTTCTTTGTGTTCGTAGATGTTCGTGGATGTTCGTGGGTGTTCATTCAAAATGTATGCTTAAAAAGCGAAACTATAAAAAGTTTTTTGGGTGTTCGTTAGGTATTGCTATACTCAGCTCGATGAGCTCTATCGATTGGCTAACTCAGATTTTAATTTGGGGGTGTTCGTGAATGTTCACGTCTTTTAGCAATACCCTTTTCTGGTTCTTCACAACAAGTTTTATGATTATCAAAGCAAAAATTTTCATTGTCCAAAGGTTTTGTTTCAAATGGAATGAACAGATTTAACAGATTCCATACCCATGTGCTAATAATTGTACAAGTAATTTAAAATATATACAAGATGATATATGTGCATTTTATTTTGAAAAAACAAAAGCTAGAAATAAATTACACACACGTTGTTTAAATGGAGAATAAGACGCAAATATCTAAGGGATTGTCTTTCGAGTAAACACAATCAATTGTCTTTAAGAGAGATATTTAAATTTGGGCCAATTGTAACCGTCAATAACCGGATCTTCTGGAAATGGTAGTCCTTTTTTAACACGATGTTGATACATATATTGCTAGAATAGTAAAAAAATGTCAAATTTTACATGATGTTACAAGAACAATTGAGTCATTTTGTAAGTTGAAGAATTTCAATATAGATAATAAGAGATACACTGAGGATGTCTTTTGAATAAAGACGAAACGTCTCAAATAGAAAATAGTCGATTTTGTGTATCTCTTATTAAGAACAATTGAACTTACATAGCGTAACATTTTTTTTAAATTATGTGTACATTCAAAATAATCGTCCCACTCATCTTTACATATATCATGTCGTTTTTGAGATAACTACAACGGAAAAAGTAAGCGAAAAAGAATAATGAAAACAGCAAGACATATTGAACTACATACTAAATGTGTACACATTCGATATTGTTTCGCAAATTTTTGACATGAACCACCATAGCCCGTAAATAAATTTTCGGCAAATGAATCAAATGGTGAATAGATAACTGTTTTTGTAGGAAATGGCTCCGGATTGAACGAATGAATTACAGTACGATACCAACGTAATAAAGGATTTACTTGTTCAACGTCTGGTACGAGTTCCATCGGAATACGAACACTATTTCTGTTAGTGGTCGTCGTTGACGATGATGAATCGGCAACTGGTCCAGGAGCGTCACCGCCACTTGACGACATTTTCTGTCTTAATCAATCTGAAAACAAACACAATAATGATGGAACTGTAGAAAAAGTCATCTCAAATTCTCAATTCATTCTTAGGTGAATACTAATGGAGAATTTTATTGGATTCGAACATGTTTCCAAACAAGTAAACATAAAAGACCCGCTAAGAAAAACATAGAACAAAATTAAAAAAGATCACTCGATTTGAGGAATGAATGCATAAGATCAAAGATAGACAGCAATTTATTGTTGTTATTGAGACTTCTCTTGTTTCAAAATTGATAATACATCGACCTTTTTAAAACATTTCAAGATGTTGATTTTCTAAACCATTGATGCAAACGATGACATGTTTGGACATGATGTAACTCAAATCATTATTTCTTACTGCGACGTCTATCATCACGTGATTATGTGATCTATTAAATGAAAAAGAACGGTTATTTATGATCAACTTGAAACTGGCAGATTAAAGGAGAGTGAGACTACCATGTTTTAGCTAGAATTGTTCAATGTTTGCTATTTCTACGGCACATGCAATATTTTCCAATAAAAATCAATTTAAACAACCATAGGTGACGAAGCCACAATACTCAATCAGATTGCGTCTCACTAAATTTCAAGAAAAAAAAATTAATTTCTTCTTGTTAAGGCTAATTGGGTCCGCTTTTGTTCACCAACAATTTAAAACATAGACAATGCATATTCTTTTTCTTTACATAGTTTTTTCAACATTAATATATTTTATCACAATCTTTAGTTCTCTTTTCAATTGTAGTGTTTTCGCGAGAAACTAACGTCGATGGTCGTTGCTCGATCTAAAAAACAGGAGAAAAAAACGAATTCAATGAACACAAAAGAAGATCATTTACTAACTTCTGGACGATCGTCATTTTGCTTTATCATCCTCATTGTCGAGTAAAAATAACTCATCTTTTATAGAATTGTCTATAAAATTTAAAAAAATTATCATATTAGATAGGAGAGACTTATAAATGTCATTTTTGGACAAACATTGATTCAACTTCATAACAACTGTATATTTTTCTCCTTCGATTGGCCGGATGAGAACGTTTTTTTTTGTTCCTGACAAACAGATAGGATGAAATAACGCATAAACTCATCTACTCTTATTATATAGCACTTGTCTATTCTTGTGAACAATTAGTTAAAGCCACTAATCAAATTCGAACGTCACTTTACAAAACAACCGAAATTACAACTACACAACAAACACATTTTTTTTTACTCATTCTAATAGGACACATCTTTACTCTATTAATGGGCTTAATTTTCAACTGTAAATTATATAATGCAAAAAAAATGGATGAATTGAATGGAAAATTTATTCAATAACAATGACAATACACAAAACAATCGGACAAAATCAAAAATCATCTATCGTTAAATCTTTTAATTGATCTCGAGCACCACGTTTTTTTATTTCTTTCACAAACTGAGATGTACTATCTGATTTCGAACGTCTAAAAAAAATACACATGATATGTGAAAGTAAACCATTAAAGATAAATTTCTATTTTGTTTTTCATTACTTTGGCTTTTTCACTTCTGTTTCTTCTATTTCATCTAATTCATCTTCTTCATCTTCTTCATCTTCTTCTTCTTCTTCACTTTCGTCGCTATCATGTTTTCGTTTCTTAAATATAAAACAAATTTAAAAGAAAAACAAATTATCACATGTTATTTCTTGTACTATTACCTTTTTCAATTGAAAAAATTCGCCATCTTCGTCGTTATCATCATTGTCGCTTATATCTTTTTCGATTAAGTTTTTAAAATCTTGTTTATCATTGACAAATTTTGTTGGACGAATAAGTTCAGGTAATTCAGCACGACCTCTGGCTGATATCTAGACAAAAAACAAACGCATTATTTGAACCAAAAATGAGAAATGGTCAATCAATAATAATTTTTTTTTAAGCAAAATTAATTATCTAAGTTCAATTGGATTTATACTCAAAGAATATGAACAAGTATCTCTTACTGGAACTCACCGAATCTCTTGGCTGTCAGTAATGGATTTCTCAGGGTTATAGTAAGAAACCGACGTTATATGAACGTCTGAGATGAGAAGTGTGCTTATGAGTTGTCAAATTCTGGATATCGATGAGACGTTCCTTCCCGATGTATGAACTAGAGCTCAAAACTCAAGATTTTCCACTGATTATGACGCTCACACTATTGTATACAAAAATCGATTCAGACAGCGGTAGAAAATCCATGAGTTTTCTGAAGACCCTCGAGAGATCCATGAGCCAGAGACACTCTGCTGTGCCATCTGAGATTGAAGTCAAGAGAGTTTTGTCTTTCTGAAGAATTTTTTTATCCTTCTTTTCTATGTATCCGCCGTCTTGTGACAGATAGACATGGGTCGTTTTAACTTAAAGTCAAGGAAATGTTTATTAGCTTAGACTTGTAACATTAATTTCATACTTTTTCTTTTTGTGCAATATCTTCTAAAACTTCTCTCTGTCGTAATGATAGATAACGTTGATAATGTATTTTCAATGGTGTTTGTTCCTGTTTACTATTTTCAAGCCAAGTTTCCTAAATGAATAGATTAAGAATTAAAAAATGTATAATCGGTCGATTTATTTACACACCATTTGTTTAATGTCTTTAATATTTAAACCTGTTTTTTGTCGTCTATCTTCAATTACTTTTGCATTTTCTTGTAATTTTTCTAATAAACCTTTAATTACTTTACAAAAATTTTGTATTTGACATGTTTTTAAAAATGATTTAAACTTAAAAATAAAAAAAAAAATCATAATTATTTTTGAATTTTTAGACAAATAGAACTAGTCTATAGACATACTTTTAATACAACGGGAAATATTAGTTCTGGAAATGAAAAATGATATGAATAATTGACCAGATAAAGTATAAATAATTCATACAATTGATCCATTAGACCATCCTTTTGAAAAAAAAATAAAGAAGATCAGTTTTAAGAATATAAGAAAAAATTCTTACTTTATATGCACGATCTTCCATTTGTAATTTTGATAATTTTAAAGCAGTATCAAAATTAATATATTGCGCTTTTAAACTCGCTGTTTTGTGTTTCTTATTGAAATCTGTTATATCAAACACCTTTAAAAGAAAATATGTTCATTTGATACGTCTATAGAGAACTGGATGCGATATGATTAACAATTTAATCATTCATTTTTCTCTCAAAACTCTATTTTGTTAAAGGTGTGTTTAATCAGCTGATGATAACAGCTGACATAATTGAAAGAAATCACAAAAATAAGTTTTATAGTACATACTTCAATTAGAAATGGTAAAACAGGAATAAATGTGTCTGTTAATGTTGTTAATTTAATAAGTGAACGTATACAATGAAAACGTAATGGATAATAACGAGCAATTGGAACAAGTCTATAAATCAAACATGAAATTTTACTAGACACAGAATAAAATATGGCTCATTGCACAGTAGCTGTGGAATCATAAAGGTAATGGAGACGATGTCTCTACACATTTTGAAATATAAAAAGTGTGAAAACGGGATACTGAGTAGTCTTAACAACTTTAAGAATTTATTTCTTTGAATTTGTCATACAACCGCTATATCTTTTGTATCTCGCACTCCTTTTCTGTGTTTCTTATATATATAAAAGTAGATAAAAGTAGAAAATTCTCTGTGTAAGTATCGCAAAGATATTTTGATATTTACCTTCAGTATTAAAATTTAATCTAAACTAATTCAAAATTGTCTTTTTCAAAAATATACTTTCAGTTTTCCCCCAAAACTTCGTCCTCACAGCTTCTAACTCATTTTCCCATTTCTGCTCTTTGTAGTACATATCTAATGAAAATGGCATACCTTATTGTTCCGATAATCACTTCGCATAGAGGATGAATTAATTGTTTTATCAATGCTTCCTTATACAACAAGCCAATAACATTTGTCCATAATGATAATGCATGAATATATTGCCAATTATAAACATTTTGAATATTTTCCTAAAATAAGAATAGATTTATAGATAATCTACTTTACTATATACTTACAACAGTACACTATCGATATCCTAAACTTTCCACTTTTCAAAACTTATAATAATTCTCGAATACGCCTTTTAAGGGCTGCTCTCCACGTTTCTCAGATTTCTGACAAAGGGTTATCGAGGCACCGAGATTTTTCAGTACAAATAGCTCCTAGAGGTTTGAGATAAATGATCTCTTTGACATTTCGTACCCTCTGAAAATATTCTCGTTTTTCATGTGACAGACAAACTCATCTTTCGTATCAAAATGCTGTGTATGTTTCAGAAATGTAGTTTTATATATCGGTAGATCTCAAAAAAAGTAACATATTCAAGTTGCTCGAGAAAAATGTTTGATATCGGAGAAATTCCACATCGAACATCATATGAACGTCTTCTTCTACAATCATTTAAATACTACCCAGACGAAAAGTCAAAACCAGAAAAATGCGGTTCTACAATATACGGCAGTGAACGAAACAGATCATATTTTTCTAGGCTCTCAGGAGAATCACCACAGCTTCTAAACTAAGCACTTTCCTAGAGCTGAAAGACATCTTTTTCTTGAAGAAACAATACTTTGAACTATCTGATTCCGTTGTTAAAAACTAATAATGTGCCTCTGCAAAAGTGAAAATTGTGAAAAATTATCAGGATAACATCGAGACGACTCCTATTTTGAACAGGACACTCGATTTTATATAGAACCAAGTCGAACTCAGTTGTTTTTGAGCTTAGAAAGGAGAGACAGCTTTAAGGCTCTTGATAATTACTGAAAAACATAATGATTACTCTACTCAAACAGTTTTCTTACACTAAGAAATAGAATAAAATAGTAAATGATTATGCACAGAATTTTGTTATTATCAATTTTATCTTCTCATTTATCTTTCAAATATAAGAATAGTATCGGTTAATTAGTTACTTTCTTCTCTAAAATCAGTAATAAATTTATTACTAACTGGTTTTTTTTGAATCGTTGCACTTCTTAGATGAATTGCTAGTTGCCTAATAAAAACAAATGCATGTTGATAGGTTATCGATGGAGCAATCGAATACATTTCAACTAATGATCGTTGCATAAAATTAATTAATGGTAACGATGTTGGAGATGTAAATTTACAATTTTTTAAATATTCAAAATACATTTTCTATTCAAAATAAAAAATGAAGAAAAACTATATTTTCGAACACATAAGATCTTTTTAAAAACACTTACCCTGAGAACAATCGGTGTTATTTCTTTTCTATTTTCTCTTGTGATATGAAATAGACAAACAAATGAAATAACACGACTTTTTTCATCAGTAGCTGTAGACCATACGATAATTAATTCCTTAAAATAAAAACAAATAGCTAGTACAGTTAGACAGAAGAAGTCGAGACCACGTTCGAACTCTCTCTCTCTCACACACACACACAGTCTAATCTTAGTTTACTACCCACTTGTATTCCTCTTTTCTTTCATTCATTAGTGAGACAAAATAATCACGTATCAGAACTTACTTTCACAATTGGTTTTCGTGTTATTGGTATGGCAAGAATAAACGGTATTAATGTTCGAATATGACGTAAAAGTGAATTCAATGTACTAGGAACATTAATCATTGATATCAACTAAAAATGAACAGGAATGTATTCAAATTAAAAAAAGAAACTCTCTTTTGATTTGTCATACATACTCTTGCAAAACTCATTAAATATTTTTTCATAATTTCACTTAGATATTTCCAATTTGTACTTGTCTCTGGTTTTAGCTTCTTCTTTTCCGGTTTTATTTTTAAAAACCTGTATATAGCGGGTATTAATTGTTTCAAACAACATCTAACAATAGTATTGAACGCTAAAATTATAATATCATTATGTCACAAATAATAGAACTCTATTAGAGAATAAAGAGCAATTACAATCTGGATTATCGACAGCTACATTCGATTTTGTTTTTGATTTTTTTTTCTTCTTTTTATCATCTACGTCGGTACCATAAGCAGAGAGAACTGCTGCACCAAATGACCGAATAACATGTCTTATAATTGTTAATGGTGGCTGAGATTTCTAAAAGCAAATAAGATAAAAAAAAAAATGAATATTGCAATGAGATAATAGATAGTAAGCAGAACATACTTCTAATTGAGCTGACCATTTTTCAATCATTTCAACTGTCACCTGACTTTGTTCTTCTTCACCCTGAATTTCGTTGTCGTTGTCTTCATCCTAAAACATGAATAATTCGAGAGTCTGTCAGAAAAAAAGTCTCACTAATGCATACGTCTTCTAGAACTTCTTCAAGATTGGATGGTGGCCGATGAAATTTTTGATCTACATTTTCTTCATCTCCATCATCATCAATATCAAAATCAAGTAGTGCTTTATCTTCTTTTTTTAAAAATTTATAAAATTCTGGATCAGTTTCTTTCAAATTGGCTAAATCTTGTTTATGTTCTAGTAGTTCATTATCGACCTCACCATTTGATCTAGAAAAAAATTTTATATTAAATTCAATATAGAACATAAGAAAGAAACATCTTACATTTTTGTCACGCTACCATTATTTTTCGATTTTTTCATTGATGATTTACGTTCCTTTTTTTTTATGCTTGTTTTCGGTTGAAGCTTCATTATGAGACAATCTAAAACATAAATGCATCTCTATGAAAGCGAGCACACTGAAGTTGCAATTCAGAAGAATGAAGCTACTTTTCTCTTTTTCCTGTTATTCATACATTCGTATGGCCTATATGTTGGTAAAAGAAAACGATTGACTGTAACTGACGCATTCTATCGACTTTCTTAAATGCTTTATCAATCGGAAATTAATATTGACTGTCAAGTCAAAAATGGCTTTGATCAAAACATGTCTCTTCCGTCCTCTAACTAATGTGTTTATTTTTTCACACGCTTCTTTTTAACGCTGAAATGTACTTATTAGAACAACGGAATTGCAAAAAACTCAGAAGAGTGAACAATAATTCATAAATAGTGTTGCTTTGACACAATGAACACTATTATGAATCACTGTAAATCGTTAAATATTTTATAAAAACTCTTTTACTACAAAGTCTCTGTTTCTTATCAACTATTACAATCTTTAATCGAAAAACAGAATGTTTTATTATAAAAAAAAACAACGAATAATCATTTATTGCATGGAAGTTGACTGTTTTTTTTTTCTTTTTTTGTTCAAAAATAAAAATATGAATGCTTTAATATAACATCTAAGTATCTACATCATACATGTTCTAAATAGATATATCTGAACAGCAAGAGGGATTAATAACAAGAATAGATAAGAAAACAAAAATAAACAATAAACAAAATAGAGGAGAAAAAAAAAAGCGAAATAAACAACGACAAAGAGAAATATCATAATACAAAACGAAACATACAAATATCTAGCTTGGTACAACTTCATAATCCTCCATCGGTTCTAATAAATATTTTGTTACTGATGCAAGTAACCATTCTGGTTTTAAAAATGATATATATATATGTTGACATTGTTCATATAACTCTCGTTTACCAACTAAAAATGAATCTTGACATAGAACAATGGTTACTGTATTTGGCGGTTGATCTTTAATTTCTTGTAAACATATTCCACCACATAGTTTAATTAATTCAATAAGATTTTGATTATTAGAATAAATTGGTGGACAACCGTCACATTTTAATAAAAAGCGATAACCATTTAATAAATTTTTACGTGTTAAACGAGAACGCATCATTCCATTATGATATGGAAATGTGAGATCACCAATCATTTCAAATTGTTGTTCATCGATGAGTTCATTATGTTCTAAACATTGATCGATCCAACGATGTGACACCACAAATAAATGACGAGCAACAGCTTCAATAACTTTTCCAGTTAATGGACATAACAGTTGAGATTGATCACCTTCATCCGTTATCAAATGAGTAGTCGTGTTGTCAACAGTTAATGTTGAAAGACATTTAAATTGATGTATGAATTGTTCAACAGTCGACTAAAAAGTAGAAAATAAACAACATACAATATCCGACTATTATTTTCACATAAAAAGAGCGAATATATTACTATATAGGCATTTAATGAGAAATATTTGCAATCAAAAATTTAACTATAAGATACCAAGAGATTTCTGTTTAACGTTTTAAATAAATATACTTCGTGTAGCATACTCTTTGCTCATCGCTTAATGACGTTGTTGCAATAACAATTTGATTTCTTTTCTGTTTACGCAATACGGTGACGATTGTTGTTGAAGAATCATTGTCTATTTCTTGTTTCTGACCATCGGGTTGTTTTACTGACATATCTGATTCACCTTCTCGTTGTGTGGACTCATTTTCAACCATCATCTGTTCGTCATTATCACCTTGAGGTGTACCACCAACAACAGTTACACTGTCATTTTCATCATTTATCTGAAAAAGTAGAAGATTCAACGTGATCACCTTTTTGAAATTATTTCTGTTAGAGAAAGAGAAAGAAAGTCTAGTTATTTACTTTTTGTGTATTTGATTGTTCTCGCTCAGATGTCATATTTTGTTGATTAACGACGTTCGCTAACACAGGTCGTTGTTGTTGTTGTCTTTGTTGAACATAATTGGCTATTGTTGGAGAACCATTATTCGAGTGTACAAGTGTTTCATAATATTGTACCATTGTTTGAATAAAATGTTGTTCAGTTTTTCTGGATAATTCAACACATGGACAAGATGTAAGATCCTGACATGCATGATGTAAATGAGGTAATTGTTGAGAATCTACAGTTTGAATTGATTGATCTAGTTTTAAAATATCTTGGTGCGAGACTGCTAACTGTTCGATTTCATCAGTGGAAGTTGATGCTGTTGTAGTGATGACAGTTAAATCATATTGTGTTTCCATTGCTTGTAGTTCTTTTTCATCAGTTTGAATTTGTTGATGAAATAATGTTTGTGATTGAACATCATCAATTTCAATTACATCAATTTGTTGAGTAGAGGCACGAATATCATGATTCGTTTCTGTTTCTAAAAGTTCATTGGTTGTTTCAGTAGAGACAAATATATGATTGTTCAAATTCACTGGGATTGTCTCATTTTCATTTGGGTTCTCATCAACAGTACCGTACAATTGTCGATCATTCACAGTTGGTTCACTTTCTTCATTTACAATCATTATATCTGGAGTTGATGTTACTTTGCCAATTGTGATTGTTGATGCTGTTTTGATTGTAGGGCGAAAAACTAGAACAAAAAAATAGAAAAAGTTATGAATGTAAAGCATACACTATGTTGGAGAAAATTGCTTTTATTATCTATTTTTATCCATATACTATTGTAAAGTTCTATGTCTTCTGTTTAACGATTACTAACCGATAGGATTACGTAAATCAGAAATCGCCGTTCTTTTTATTGTTTTTTTTGCTTTGTTTAACACTTCAGTAGACTCTAAATCAAGACAAAACAAAGTCTGTTGAAATCCAACTTATTCTTTTTAATATCGTATATTAATACTCATACGAGCCATTTTATTCGTTGGAATTGATTTACGTGTTGTTGAACGAGGTGTCGAGACGAAATTCGTTATTAGATCAGAAGCGGGTTCGGCTAAACTCGATTTTGCTTTTTGTTGTTTCGGCGATGATTTCCGATGTTTTTCCTCTATAATTCGCAATTGATCGCTAAGTGCAGATTTTCGCTCTTCAGCTCTGTCATAATCCGGTTGTTTAAGACCTGAAGAAGTAAAAGCGAATATAATTGAGAAATAGAGTAGGTTTTTGTGTTTGAGCATACCACGTCCTTCAACTAACAGTGGTACTTGTTCGATTAGCCGAGTTTCACGAACATAACTATCTTCTTCGCTGACAATCTCAATTGGACCTGGAAAAGAAAAAACAAAAATTTCTATAGTAGAATAAATTAGATCCATAATGAATGAAAAAACAGCTATTCGACGCTAGGCTGCTGATCGAATTCGGTCACAAAAACGCATTAGAGCCAACTCAAAGATGGGAAAACAAACGTTTGTCCTTTTACAGTCACCAGGATCAACTATTACACGAGCTTAAGTTCGAATAATACTACAGGGTTGGCAAAATATTTTTCCAGGGGGGATGGAGCTCAAACCACAAATGATATACCAAATTAATACACATCTAAAATGGGATTGATGAGTATAATTGATATCCCGTATGATGATTATTGGCTGTAGAATTATGAAAATCTCTATCGGGTGCGCCATAATGATTAAATTTTGGATATAGTGATGATTTCACTAAAAATCCCATAAGTCATCAAAACAAAAGCTTTTCGATCGGTTTTGTTTTGATCAGAAATGATTGCTCTTTCTTCTATTGCTCGAACTGCAGAATAAAAACTTTAATTATGTTTTCCATTTCTTACTTTTGTACATTGTTGAAAACGCGGAGAAATTTTTGAAACGTCGTTCTCCAACACAGCTTCTGCTCTAAAATTGTCTTTTTACAAACCACGAGAAAGAGCATATTCAAAAGTACAAAAGAACTGAATGCTCACTTTTACTACACTTTTACGAAAATAATAGCAGAAGAAAAAAGTTCAAGTTGAAAAAAAATACCAAATATACAAAGTTTTTAGTTCTTCTGTCTTTCGTATAATTTACGTAATTTTCTTGATTGAAGTTCTACAACTAAAGTTTAGATATGGTTTTGTAGAGTATGTCCTGGCGCATCTTTTACTGCGCTTACTTTATTACTAACTGTGAGATCCTAAAGGAACACGAGAAAAATAGAAAATACTGAGAGGCTCATTCATTATGACGCACTCGATAGAAATTTTCATCATTCTACAGCCAATAATCATCATACGGAATATCAATTATATTCATCAATCCTATTTTAGATGAGCATTAATTTAGTATATCATTTGTAGTTTGAACTCTACCTCCTCCTGGAAAGACATTTTTGCCAACCCTGTACAAAAAGTCATCTATCAACTGTAATTATAATAAGGATACCTATTTCATCTAGTACTCTCTAAAAAAAAAGGTATTTTAAATGGTATAACCATTTAAACCATATCGTAACTGTTTAAACGTTTTTTACTTTTATCAGAAAACCTCTTTGAGATTTTTAGAATATGAAAAAGCCGTGATTTAAAAAACCCTAAATTGATTTGGTTTTTTTTAAAATACTTGAAAGGTTTTTTTGTGACATGAAGAAACCTCAACCGTGTTTCAGAACGTAATTTAGGCGTATTTCGGAAAACAAAAATTAGTTTTTTGATGAGAATAAGAAACTTTTAAACAGTTATGATATGTTTCAAATGGTTGAACCCTTTAAACGTTTTTCACGGGTGATTATACCTTTTTTTGGTTTTTCTCAAATGGAGAATACTTTTTAAGGTTTTCTGAAATACCTTTTTTTTAGAGCGTAGTTAAACCTTCAAGAGGAGAAGTTCGAAGTATTTACTTGATGACTTTTCATCTTTATTTTTATCAACAACTCTTGTTGTTGTTCGTTTACTTGATCCTAATTTAACTCTATCATTAAGGTTGACTTCTTTACATTTTTCATTGTCTGACTCTGAATTACTATCATTCTTTTCTTCTTGTTGTTTCGACTTTTTTGGTGGTCTTCCACGAGGTTTTGATGTTGTTATTTTGCGTTTAACTGCTTGTTTTCGTTTTGAATTACTACGACCACGCTTTGTTTGTTCAAAAATGGCATTATCAACAGCATCATAACTCTTAATAATTTTTAAGTCATCACCATCGTTTTCTTCTCCTGCTTTTTTGTTATTATTATCATCAAAGTTTATTTTACCAGTTTTTTTCGTTAATTGATTGACTATATTGCGTGCCCGAGGTACGACGAGAGAATTTGCACGTTGAAAACGACGATTAGTGGCATTTGATTTGTTTTCAATTTCATCTTCATCATTTTCCACATCGATTTCCTCAACGTTCACAGTAGGCATAACGTTAATTGATTGTCGTTGACGACGTTTATGCATACTGTTATAAAAAGAAATGACTAGATTGTTAATCTAAAAAGTGGAAGTTAACATGTTCCATCTCTAATTTTAAGATTATCACAATTGTACCGTACCCTCTGAACAGAAAAAAGAAATTCATTTTTATGAGCACTGAGTAAAGCAAAAAAGATCTAATTTTAAATTCCTTGTAGAATGTATGTTTCTTGTCTTAATAGCTCTATTCCGCTGTATCTCTATGATTACACGATAATATAAGTTCATTCATTATTAGCAATGCATTCAATTAGAGAGGATGAATTTTTCTTGTTTCTGAACAAAATGTTTTTTCTCAGAATTTAATTTTTTCTTCTTCTTCGTCATCTCTTTTTCATGGTACAAAAAAAAGATGTTTTCTCTAAAAAAAAAAAAAAGAAGTTTATCGCTCTTCTAAAAGCAATTCCAGGGGGTCTATAAATTTTATGATTGTTCCTAATTAGGTATTTTGCTTTTATTATGATACGTGTGGATGCTCGTCAACTACGTCAAACCTAAATCGTTAAGTTGTTGATTAGCGAAGTAAAGCGCAATAGACAAAGAAAAAAATGCATGTATTTCTGCAAAAGTTAATAGAACACATATATTATTTGTAGATTTTAAAGTTGTAGTTGCTTAGAGTTGATCTATACCACACCATTTTACAAAGTTTTGGGATTGACTTATTTCTCCAATGGTGAGACAGATAACCAATCTTCTTTCGCATAGCTAATTGATTAAACAATATAAACTCGTTATTATAACCCGTACAGACAAAAAAATCAAAATGTCAGTGGTAACATAATTTCGTAGGATAAACGCTTCATATTTAAAAGATCATTAAAATAATCCTGCAGAAAAGTGTATTATAGTAGAGTAAAACAGGTGTTACCGGTGCTTGCCCGTACATCTTCTTATTATTTATGCAAAGAAACAGATTGGATGAAAGAAATAGACAAATCGTTAGTCATGAATGAGAAGTTAAAATAAATAGAGGAAATAGAAACATTAACATGGTCGAGTTAAATGAATGCTATACTACACTCTTTTATTTTCTTATCTTTTTTTATGTATCAATCCTTGCGCAAAGTAACTCACTCTCACGATTCAGTTTTGAAGAAAACCTTCGTTAGGGCCTTATACGTGTGTTTCACTTGCGGACAAAACTATCCGCGTCTAGTCTAAAATTGCCAACTCAACATTCTCAAAATCGGAAATACTCAATTCAGGAAAACTCGAAAGAGGAATAGACAGATTATTTTTTGTGGATAAATGCGATGTTATATTTTTTTCAATCGATTGATAATAGCTTTATTACCACTTTTCTTCGTTTCATGATTGATTCTTTCATTGTCTTTGAGCGTTTATCCAGATCGATTTTCGTGAAGACACGCTACACTAGGGCTGGAAGCTAGGCTTAAGTCACTAGTATCATCGTAAGTTTACGTTATTTGTGATAACTTAGGTCTAATTTTTCAGTCCTAGCATATCTTGACCATTGATTCAGTGTTTCTAATGAGGATTTTTGCTGAGTGTACACGTACATGTGCACTTTGTTTTCTTTTTGCAAAGTGTACAAAGTGTACTGTTCCAAACCTAAAGGGAAGAAACCTAATCCAGGAAGAAATGCAGCGGATTTAGCAGATAGAAAATAGAAGAAACTTTCGCATAAGATTTTATTTCGACAAAAGAAGTTTAAAAGCATGACATATATTGACTTAGAGAAAAATTACAACTTCGGTATACTTTAGAACACAAATAATCTAACTTTTATTTGATTGTTCACGATGGACATGGGCGGTACCGGAACTAAAAATAAACCGGGATCGGAAAACGGCAGTTCCACCCATGTCTAGTTCACTATTTATGTCTATATTACGATGTATCTCTCAAGTTGAAAATGACCTATCATCAGTTGGCGTAAAAAAAAGTAAAGTGCACAGAGAAAAACAAAAATGTACATTATACAGAACACTCGCGTGTTCTGTTGAAATTATGTCGGTCTTAATGAAGTGCGGTGCTGCTGAATAAAAGTAAAGCAGTGCAGTAATGTTGGAAGAAAGGTGACACTAAGAGAAACTCTACTGCCCTAGTCGACAGTCCTGCGAGAGTCCCATAAAAGTCTCATGGCATTTCCGTATTTAGACAGAAGTTATATCTTTTTTAGGGACTTGGGACGATTATGACAAGTCTCACGGGACCCTCAGGAAAGTGAAAAGTCCCGTGAGACTCTCGGCCAACTCCCGAATCATTCTTTTGTTTCACTAGTGACACAAGTATATGATACCACATATTTTTTGAAAAAATATAAGTTTTTCTTATATATTCGTTGATAAATAAGGAGTCAGTGACCAGTACTGAGTCCTTAACGAGTAATTGGTTTCTTAAGCTTCGACTTAGGACTAATGGCAGCTGACACTTAATCAGTCGTATGAAAATTTGTGGAAAACTAATCTGAAAGTAGAAAAACTCCTATGGGAGTCTCACATTGAAGTCCCACAGGACTTCCATTGAAAAGTTCCGTGGAACTCTTGACTATGGTGTGTATGTAACACATCCTTTTAATGTGTTCTAAAGATTTTGTTTTTGATTTACTTTAACTGACAAAGGAGAATAAGTGCGCCCAAATAACTATAGTCGGCGAGACTTGGAATGTGTAAACAAATATACAATGTCTATGTTTAAAAGCGGAATCAAATGAATAAAAAAGTTTGCTAAAATATAGTCTATACCAGAGAAGAATGAATGGATAGACGCTTGTTTTTCTTCCTTGATCGTTGAACTGTTCACTTTTTCCTTCAAGCTTTATCCTCAGTTGTATGTAATAGAGCGTAAATATGTTATATGCTTCTATTTTCATTTATTTTCTTACTTGGTGTACGTTTAATAACGTGAAAATTTTATTTTATCAGATAATTATTATGTAAAGAAAAGTATTTTTGATTTATTTATTATTTTTTTTGTCGAAAGAATATGGTTTATTTTTTGTTGTAATTTATTTAAAATAACGAGAATGGGCAATAAACAGATAAGCAAATTAAAACCTCACGATTTAGAGGAATATAAGCGTATAACAACATTCACTGATCATGAAATTCAAGAGTGGTATAAAGGATTTATGAAAGATGTATGTGACACAACTTTTACTTTTCAAATTAGTCCAAATAATTTATTCTTTTGTATTCTAGTGTCCAAATGGTCAATTAACAATGAGCGAGTTCAAGAAGGTTTGTTTCCTTGAGTCCCAATGAAGGCTTTTTTTTCAAATGGTCTTGTTCATCTTTAAGATTTATTCACAATTTTTTCCATACGGTGATTCTTCAACATTTGCAGAACATGTCTTTCGACGATTCGACGAAGATCATAATCAACGTATATCATTTAGAGAATTTTTAACAGCATTAAGTGTAACATCGAAAGGAAAATTAGAAGAAAAACTCAAATGGGCATTTGGATTATACGGTATGTAAAATAATATTTTTTTATCTTTTCACTTTCTGTCTACGAAACCATTTTGAAATATTTGTGTTGTTAGACTGAAAAAGTCTTTTAAAATATTGCATTTGAAGAAATGTTATGCTATACTAGTGTGTTTTGAGTTTGAATTTAATATCAGCAGAGTTTCAAATATCAACTCTACTTTGAACAGAATACTTTGATTTCTCATCCTTTATCGTTTTCTATTTAGATGCAAATGATGATGGATTCATCACAAGAGAAGAAATGCTAGAGATTGTGTCGGTAAGATAACTATTCATCTGATAGAAAAAATTACAAACAAATACGCCGTAGGATTTATGAAATGAGAAAATATACTTGATACTATTTTGCTCGTGCTTTTATAGATTATCTGAATACAATGCTTCTCTAATATTATTATTGCTTAGTATCTTGATAGATATGAACCCGCAGGAGAAAAGCATCGTCCGGAAACACTCACCGAAAACGGAGCCGAATGATATACTTTTTTATGTTATCCGACTATTTTGAGTTTTTCGGGGATTTTCACGTCGAAAAACTACTAAGATTTACACTAAAAATGAAAATCAACAAAAAATCTTGAAACGCATATCATTCAACTTAGTTTTTTGCGCTGATTCCTCGAAAATAAAAATAAAATCCTTGCAAAAGCACATAATGTCTGACGACATAAAAACTTGGAAATTTTTGAAACTGAAAGATTTGTCGAATTTTTAGACCCCTCAAATATTTTCGATTTTTCAACATGAAAATAATTTTTTCAAATATTAAAACATATTTTCTTCTCCAGATCGACAGACTCTATCCAATCATGTATAAAAAAATGCTAAATTTTCGAATTTCCGACACCTTAAGTTATTGAAGAAAAAAGTCGTGTATAAGAATAAACAAACAGAATGACCGTTTCATATCGTACATACTAATGTAGCAAAAAATAGACTTTTGGAGATATTAGGAGCCAAAGGAGCTATGGGGTTACCTTTCTTCTTTGCATGAACCTCTAATATTCTATATACACCGAAGTTTTATAGTAATTGTCTAATTTTCTATTGATCAAAGACTTCAAAAAGTTAGAATATCATTACTGGATTACAAGCAAAACGAAAATGTTTTTCAAGTTTTCAATAACTTAAAAATATATACTGGAGAACTAGCAAATAAGGGAATATTCCTTTTCGCATATGTATATCTTCCTGTTCTCTTTCTTTTCTATCGACGCATTGAGACGAAAGAATCTTCGCACATGTGGGATATTTTATGTGGAAAGAGATATCTTCTTATTTGCTACTTCTCCAATTATCAAATGTATCCATCTGGCTGTTATTTTTCTAGGCTATATACAAAATGGTTGGATCAATAACGAAAATGCCCGAAGATGAGTCGACACCAGAAAAAAGAACAGAAAAAATATTCAACCTATTCGACTCCGACCGTGATGGAAAATTATCGATGGAAGAGTTTGTTGAGGGTAAGAAAGAAGATGGTGCAGGATCTGACGGAAAAACATTGCACAAGAAGCGCTTTACGATTACCATTTTCAGATTTTATCTTTAAAATATCTTACTCATCGTTCGTTTCATTGTAGCTTTTGTCCACAGAAAAGTGTCTAGTTTCTGATGTTGTCGTCCGTTAACTATAGTTTGCTCTCAGTATTCTGACTTTATGTTCAAAAATTCTCACACTTTGAAACAAGTATGTTGTATTGTTTCGTTTTTAGGTGCAAAAAGTGATCCATCGATTGTTCGCCTATTGCAATGTGATCCAAGTATGACTTCTGTCGTTCAGAACACAGCGACGACAGCCTCATCAACACCGGCTCGTTTACATTCTTGATTTTGTTATTGTATTCCTATCAAAAATACACAAAAAACGTTCCACTTTGAACAAATACCATAAATAATAATAAGCATTCCACAGTATTGAAAAAACGATTCTCTTTATCTCTTCATTTCTCTGTCGATCTGATTTCATGTGCAATTTTTGGCCTTCGAATTTTTTGTGCAAAAATACAATGACATCCCCCTGGTTGTGTGTGCTACTACTGCTTTATTTCTGATAAATATTAAACATTTGTTTCCTCATTAAGGATCTTTTTGTGTCTATCTTTTATTTTTGAAGACATCGTAATTTATTTCTGTTTTTGTTGTTTTTTTCTCTTCCACAGATTAAAGAACGATAATAATATTTTTTTTATGACAATAAAATTTTAAGAATTCGCAGTCTAAGTAGGAAGGCGAAACAAAACAAAAAATTCAAACGTTAATGTTGTTAATTCCGTTAAATTGTTGGCTATTCATCTCTATGTACAATTCTCCATTTTTGATAAACTACTTTGTAAAAACTGAGAAAATGAATTGATTTCATAATAATATCCTCTCAGCGGCTTGTACAAACGTAACGATGTGACATTTTGACGTATTAAATGTCAGCTTTTACAAAAAGTATAGGAGCTAGAGAGTTGATTCTTGCGGCATTCTGAGCAGTTCACTGTCCTCTATCTACGGTAAAAAAATGGAAAATTTTTGTTAAGATTCACGGCTTTGAGAGAGAATATACGGTGTGTGATGGATGTGACAGAAAAAGGCCCTAAATTGCGAGTACATCTAATTAAACGCTAATTTCCTGCGAAATTACTTGAGCAAATGAAACTGTCTAAAGCGAAGATTGTCGAGAAGCTTACGAGCTATCCAATATTAAAAATAATTTTCTTCCAAAGTCTTTCCCTCGCTTATAACTATCAATAAATAAATGTGATGGCGTGATATTTTTCGTGACGGCATGACACACTTTTTTGTCGATGGATTTTCGAGCACTTAATGTTCTCAAAAAAACTTGATTTTTATATTTGCCATAGATTTGGTGATATTGTGAAAAATAAAGTTGAAAACTTTTTTTCAGGCTTTTAAACTTGACTGGAACTCTGAAACATCGAAAAGGTGTAAGTTTTGTTCCTAAAGTCGAATTGTCGAAAACAATGAGTCATTTTGTAGAGAACTTAATTTTCTATCGAATGATGTAAATTTTAAATTTTTTAAAAAAGTTTCAAGGTCAAAAATTTTAAATTAAAATTATTCCACTAAAATTTTTATTTTTATTTGCTAAGGAGGTCGGATTCGGAATTAGCGCGAAAAACTGCATCTGATGATGTGCTCATACCGGTTCTCAGATAATAAAAAATTTCTAAAAACTTAACCAGCGAAGTATCGCGTTACGTGGACAAACCGTCAAGAACTTAACTAGGAAAATTTGAGCCACGTATAAATTGTGCGTATTTTTTCAAGAGACAGTCTTCAAGACTATAATAGATGAGTTTGAGGTGAACATTTTCAATAAAGAAATCAAGAATAAAGTCATATTTTTAGCATGAAAAAATACTATTTATCGAGATGTTTCATCAGTTATCATCGGTCAAATGATCAGTTCTATGGCCTATTTCCAGTCCATGTTCAGTTATCCGGAAGAAGTTTTTGCCATAGAAAGAGTCTTTGTGCTTCTTCCTGATTTTTTTAAAAAAGAATAATGTAATTTACTGAAAACCATGAAAAGAATAATCTATATCACTGAAACTATACCGCTCCTGTCAACACAGTTTCCTTTTAAAAAACTTTTCTGTTGTGTTCGTTTAAAGATCTAACAATTTGAGAATGATATGGTTTGACAGAATCTACCTCCGTTACTAATATATTGTTAATCAGCTCTTACCTGCATCTAGAGAACCTAACATAACGGTGCCACACACAGGTTTACAATACTATATCACCGATGTGATATTTTCAAAAAGTTATTCTGAAGCTTAGCTCCAATCTCGACTTGTGTTAGGATAAGAGAAATAAGCAATTTCCTTAACGCAAAAAATAGCGCTCATGCTAACCACTATTTGACCCGTTCGGCCTTCGATTTTGGCCGAAATATCTAGATGCTTTAGCTGGAGTATCGGTCGATATTTTTTACTCTTTTATCTAGATATATCAGCTAGAGCATCGAGTTAGCTAGCTGCATCGGTCGATGTATTGCCCAATATATTTGAATGCACCGAGTTTATCCCGATGAAAATGTCAGTTCATGGGCAATGCTATCTAGTTGCATCGAGAGAAACATTTATCTGCATCTACATGCGTCGACCAGTAAATTGACCCCCGACATGCATTGGGCGATACTCGATGCTTTTTCTGTGCTTGGGATATTGTTTGTCTTTCAAACTAGGACACTATTCTGTCGACCTACTCCAAGGTGTAACTGATGTCGAAAAGTTTAGTTGGAATATATCATTCGAGAGAAGATATGCAAGTAATTGAAGATGGTTATGAATGTTTGCCGTGTCATCTTCAGTTTCTAAGACAGCTTTCTTTAGCCCTAGAACGTTTAAATATTTAGCGAACATTAGAAGCAGGACCACAACCCTAGGGGGAAAAGGCAGCTCCGGGAGCTTTCCGGAGCCCATGAAATGCTTTTCAGAGCTTGAGATGCTTGGCATCGGATGCTCTCCGATGCTGACTCCGATGCTTTCCGGAGCTTGAGATGCTTGGCTAGTTAGTTATTCACAATGTGATGTAAATTTCGAACACAACTAGGAGGTTATGAAATTCAGCATTATACGAAACAAAATCCTGTAGGATCTGTTTGTTCCTTATTATAGGAAAGTCGGAAAGCTAAGTTGATATAGGTGATTGCTATGTCAATATTTTCAATTTCTCAAGCAGGATGTCGTGTACTATAATTTTTTAATTTTTATCTTTTCATGTGTAATATTATATATCACACACGAAACAGTTATTATACTATTATAAATAATTCGTATAATCTAATATTTTGTAGTATAATATGAAGAAACATGGAAGTCTCTAGCTGTCCATTGATTTTCTGAGTAAAAATTTCTTTCATTGTTTTAAAACCTCCTCAATATATATTTTCTCACGTGGAATATTTAGTGTGTACACAATTTTTGTGTCATCCAAAGCTTTTGAGTGTGCGGGATTATTTATGTCAGGTGTCGGAAGAGCAAAGTGTTTATCATAGTAATCTGCAAGCATATTCATCATCACTTGTGGATCTTTTTCGATACCTTCGGGCGTCTTCAAGCTTCGAATCGACGGGGAATACGGCTAGAATGTCGTATTCACATGTTTCCGGATGTTTTGACCGTGAGAGATCTAGGATAATTTTGTCTCTCTTTTTATTGTTCAAATTCTGTTTCCTCGCTGAAGTAGATGTCATTTCAACAGTAGAATTCATCTAAGTGCTTCAGAAAGCGTGTCTTCCGATGTTTTCTTTTATGTCTATTTAAATTTTTAGCTAGAAGAACAAGATACGATGACTAGGGTGGGCGGTATTTTTTCATTGAAATGAATTCATTGATCCTATTTCAAAGAGAAGAACAAAATTCTGCAATAAGAAAAGGATTCATGGTCAATGTTATAAACAAGTGCATTAAAGTATTCAAAAACATCTCTAAGCGAAAAAGTGAATTTATTTTTTGGCATGTCCCGTTTTCAGACGCGCAGAAAGGCGAAGGAACAAGTAAAGGAAAATGATCTGAAGTTTTCTAATCGAGAACCTCAACCATGTAGCGTGTATATGGACTATCAATTGATTGTTATTTTTTAGTAAGTTAAGTATTAGATGCAATTCTGATGGGATGGAAATATAATGAAGTAACTTCATTATTATTTACATTAATCGATAGTATCTGATTCAATTAACAGTTATTATCGTATTTTAATATAACATAATTATTCAGCGATGTATTATTAGTGGAATCATTATTTTTTTTGTCAATATTGTGGGCATCATTTCAAATTCAAAAAATTCATCGGTTAATGAAGTTGTTTCATCTCGCATATTCTTATGGGCGATAGAAGCAAAACAATGGAGCACTCTGATCCTTCTTACGAATCTATTAACAACTACTTGATCCAAACGAGTTTGTAGAATAGCATGTTATGTCGGAATTTAAAGAGGATATGTAAACCGTTGAAAAATACATTGGTTCGTAAAGAATTAAAAGAGATTTCTATCTTCGTGTTCATTTTTTGTACACTTCTAAAGTATTAGAGAACAGTATATAACGAGGACCTTAACAGTGTTGTTTAATGTAATGCATTCAAACAACATGCTGTCTGAACTGGAAGGTCTAAATTTAAAATTAAATGAGCATGTTTTGGACTTCTTCCAGGACCATTCTGAGCCAAAAATAAAAATGGATCGATTTCCTATCTTATGCGTACTTGTTGGGAACAACTTCTCTTATTGTGAAAACTTTCTAGGATTTGTCCGTTTTCCGAAGGAAAAGGAAGTTTGAAGTATAAAGTTTATATACGAGGATTTTTGTAGTTTTCAGATGTTTTTTTGCCAGTAGCTGTAAACACACATTCCAGCAGCTGTGAACACCATTTCAGTAGCTGTAAACTTTCGAGGTGGATTGTGATTGATCAAATTTCAATATAAATTTAGTATTTACAGCTACTAAAATGGCGTTCACAGCTACTAAATGGACTAGTAACAGACAGTGTATTATTGATCTGATGTTGTTAGACACAAGTTTTAAAAATTATTACGACATATTATTACCCGTTCTATGTTATAGCCCAACAGTTCAATAGGAAGTTTTCACAGTTTTGCTTCGTAGAAGCAACGCTGACAAACTTTTTTTATCGCGTCATACATCGAATATTATCCGATCGATTTCTCCTAATTATTGTGCTCAAGGTCTCCACTATGTGTCCATTCCGTTCAGTGCTTCTAATAGTTCTATCGTCGTCATGTACTTACTGCCATTCTATTTATTTAAAAGAATAACGTTACGTAATCCTTGTATTTGGGTGTCTCATTTTCTTTTCCTTATTCGTGGTACAACGTAACCACAGTGTTTGTGTAGCTATAGTTAGTCTATGCTTGTGTTTCTTTATTCTTTCTTGCTGTTATGACTTAGGAAAAAGTAGTACATGTCCAAGTGCTTTTGTAACTTTCTTGCTAGCTTGCTAAAATAATAAACGTTAAAAAGTTAAAAATTCAATAAGCAATCACTTATGTCCATCCAAATCATATTATGGCATGAATAATTGAATAAATAAATTAAGACATGTTTTGTCAATAAATTGCCCATCTATAGAGTTCAACGCAAAGCATTTCAAGACTTATTTAATATCTTTCTTCAAATGAAAGATTTTTGAATCATAAAATTTTTGTTACTGCTAATACCTATGAATATCTTGTAGAACGTTCAGGATGGTAAAGTTCTCTGTTTCACTAGTTTTGAAGGTAGCGGGATTTTTGTCTTTCCGATTGACGATAATGTAGATGAAAGTAGCACATTATTTAGAGGGACATGTACGGAATCGATCAATGAAGAACGAGCTGATGATGTTCGAGAGCTCGACGGAGTTTCTTTTGATGTGGCTGTCGATGGTCTAGAGTCAACTTTCTTTGTTGTATTTTCAGAATATACAGATGATTTTTGAATTGTTTTGCCAGTGGGTTTCAATGTAACCGGTTGAGTTCGCGGTTGACTTGCCGACATTCGTTTTTTTGCCTGTATCGGGGCAGTTGTGAAACTGTCCGTCTCACTCAATACACTGTTCGCTCTATCCAACAACGGTTTGGTTAACAATTTTAAATGTAATAGTTCAAAATCAGGACTAAAAGTTTCAGCATTAAGTATACTCAGATAAGGTTCACCACGAAAAAATAATCTTTTTTTTGAATCGTTTCTTTCCCAATCGGCAATCATTGTACGTAAATCTTCTGTCAATTTAGGAAACTCTTTTGCCAAATCTTTTCGAAATTTTTCTTCTTTTATTAATTGTATAGAACTGCCTTTCAATCGATTTGGTTCACCGGCAATTTTTTCAAATTCAATCATTTCATGTTTGTACCATTCACGTTTTTGAATTTTTGTTAATATTTGTCGAATCGATGCAATATATTTTTCTAAACGTTCTATTTCTTCTTCCATAATCAATAATTGTTCATCATCATCGTTCATTCCTTGAGTTAAAAATAACTGACGATCTATTTCGGGCACTTCTATTTCATTCCAAAGTTGATTTAATTTTGTTTTTGTTTGGAGTAATAATGCTTGTATTTGATCTTTTCTAAATGCTGATAATCGTTCGTATTCTTTCTTGCATAGCTCAACAACTTCTAAAGAATTATGATTTTCTATTTTATTCAATTTCGAACTGAACATCATTCGAAATTCATCATTTTCAGAAAGGTTCATTCGTGCCCATAATCGTTTAATCCCATTTAAATATCGATCTTTCATTTTAATACGACGTTCTTTTTCTTCCATTAGATTAACATATTCTTTCTGTAATTTTTCATTCAATTGTGGCAAACTAGGATGATCTTTATTCCACAAAAAAATATCGGATAAATTCAATAATTCAACAATTAGTGTACTTTCCTGTTGAGTCAACCATTTGCCGTTTTCGTCGAGCTCCTTTCGCATCTGTAGAACAGATTGATATATAATTTTTATCTCTTTTTTTAACAATTCTATTTTGTTTACTGTTTCTTCTATTTCCGACTGGATAGTAGAGAGACGCTGCTGAGTGGGTATGCCAATCTCTGCAAATGGTGTGTCTTTAATATCTATTCCGCATACTTTATAAAGATGGATTAGATTCAAGTGTAATGTTTGTAATTCTTTCATTCTTCTATCGTGTTCTTGTTTCAATCTATCATATAATAGCGACAATTGTTCTTTGAGCTCGACACCATTCGGAATTTCTTCGTTTAAAGTTGTAAAATCAGATATTTTGAGAAATTGTTGGACTAAATCATCTAGTTCAGTCTTATTTGTGTCGACACCGGATAGTTCTAATAGTTTTTCACTTAGATCTTTTAAATGCTGCTTGAGAGATAATAATCGAATACCCATATTTGATGTTATAACTTCAAATTCGTGAACAAGTTGTTGGGAAAGTTGTTCAATGTCTTGATATTTTGGATCGAATGGTATGCCTAATGCATTTGACTGATATGCCATTGTTGTACATAACATTTTCAATTTCTTTTCTCGATCATTTCTTACATTTTTAAGATCTTCAATTAACTTATGTAATTGTTCTTCTCGTATTGGTAAAGGTAATTTTAGGATTTGTGTAAGAATTTTTGGTTCTGGTTCGTTCAAAACGAATAATAATGTCTTCATTTGATTAATTAATTCCGTTATTCGTACGTCAAGTTCTTTTCGTTTTTCTTGAAATATTTTTAATCGATCTTGAAAAAATAGTCGTGTATCATCGATAAATAATTTCGTTTCTTGTGTTTGCTGTACATCATTATAACCAATATCAATTAACGTTTGAGAAAGCTGAGTCCATGTTAAATTTACTAATGTGATAAAATTTGTCTTTTGATCACGTGTTTCGAGTGTCATTCCGTTTATTGTTAAGCAATATCACATTTCCGTGCATACACAATTCATTTCTAAATTACATGTAAGTCAAATACTATGTTCGTTCTAAAAAACACAGATATCAAAAATTTTGAAAATGTAAAAATTTTTGCTTTATTTTTATGCAATATATTCAGATATGTATAGTAGTAAACAGGGATAATTAGTGGTTTAATAGTGTATCTTTAAATAGTATGATAAATATAAATGTTTTATTTTGTCGATCAACAACAGGGAAGATTAATTTATTATTCTGACAGTAGTAATATTATATGGAAGAGATATGACATCAAAAAAATTATAAAATACTTACTTTTTTTTCTGTTCTGACCACATTAAAATCTTATCATTATTTTACACCTCATTGTCTGTTATTTGAGAAGAGAACAATACAAAAAAAAAGAAGGACGACTCAAAATGACAAGAATTTAAAAGAACGTTAGTAATATCGAGTGAGAAAGAGAATATTAATAAGATTTGAAATTATTTCCCTAAAATCTATAAACAACGTTCTAACCAATCAAAAGATACTTCTGAAAATCTGTATCAATTATTGAAATATATTTAAAGCACATCTGTTCGTTTTAATAAGAATTGATTTCTTTTCTTACTTTCTGACATGTTTTCTTTTATAAGGCTATTAATACATGGGAAGGATGACAAAAAACTTATGAAAAAAAGGAAGAAACCTTGATACAAGCTTTTTATCTAAAATAATGCCGTACAAGTAGAAACTTGAAGTGATTTATTGAATTTCAGTATTTTCTCATTTTCGTGCAGTATTTGCAATCAGATAGCGAGTTCACGAATAGATCATGATTATCATCATCACAATCTTGATCAGTGCAATATATATATACAACTTTTAGCTGCATCTAGAGCAATCATGTGTAATTTTCTTGAATGCAGGGTACATTATAATTGTCAGTTGCTGCTCAATCGTCAGTATCGATGAAAGTTTACCCTAAGTGTAGCGCTCCATACCTAACTTTCAGTCGTAAGACCCAGTGCGGTAATAGGACCTGATCAGGCTTAACTATAAACTAAACTAAGCGTGTTTCTTCTGATCCAGAGCTAGATTCGTATTTTCATTTATTACTGCTTGTCAATTTTTATGGTGTCAGCTGGTATTCTTCTGTAAATAGTTTTGATGAACCAGACGGTCCAGAGTTTTTAAACGACCATTGTATACAGGTGTCGGTAGTATACTAGTGCTGCTAAATCATTAATGAATAATACACTTAATTGGCTAATCCAAAGCTTCTAAAATTTATTTAGTGCAGCTGTCGAGTTCAAGTATCTTGTATTGTATTCTATCACACAGCGATGATAGGATCGCTAACTGATTGGCTATAATGCTCTGACCATTATCCTAACCTAAGAGCAAATGCAAAAGCCAACCGCAACTTTCTAGAAGCAACGGAAGAAAATGCGTAGATTGTACAGTTTCCGCTTAACTCTTGTGTCTAACTGATCTAATTTACCATAAAATTACTTTTAATAACTATTTTGGATAATATATAGAGACTAATTCAAAAAGTCTGGTCAAGATACGCTAGGCGCAACAGTTGCTGGGCGTAAATCCATAAAATTCTGTCCGCCATTTTTTTTTCGTTATATAACTTGTTATTAGAGTTTAAAAGCAGCATAAAATAACATAGAATGCAGAAAAAGACCAATCAGATTGAAGAATAAATTAGACGCAACCTCGCAGCCTTTGTGCGCAGCGTATCCTAACCAAAAAGTTTCCTAATTCCTGCACTTTGTCGCGTTAGAAAAATGCAAGTTGAAGAGAAATTCTGGTGAAAATTAAATTTTAGAATCTTTTTCTTTTAAGAATTCCTGTTTCCGTCACTGAAAATGATTCATTCATGACACATATATCTGCAAAGCAGTGCGTCTATGGTTGGGAATATTAAATATCTCGTGACAAGAATCCAGAAACGCAAAAAGATTTTGAAATCTTGATTTGCGTCTGAATTTTTCAAAAAATTTTCTCCAATCAATGGTGTTTTTCGGTGTAACAAAAATACAGAATTAGATACTTTTTTCTAGTATAGTTTACAGACTATACATTTATGATAAGCAGAGGTGCAGAATCTACCCGTGAAAATTTTCCATGAACGGTAAAAATTTCCATATTTGAAATTTAGAAAAGGCTTTTATCGGTTTATTTCTTATCTTTTTTCGAGTTATTGTATTTTTTTCTAAAACCTTTATTGTTCTAAGCGCAAATCTTTCTTTATTTATTACTGATTCTTCGAGTAGAAAAAAACATACGCTCAAAAAGATTTAAAACTATAAATGCACTGTTCATCATTCCGCCGACTCATGACTGATTTTGTTCAGGTATTCTTGTTAGTTTCTCCTGTCTTAAACGATTTAATACAACAGAACCAGGAGAGACCAGCTTCCACAGCGGATACTGTTCACCTTTCTTGTAAAACAATCATTGTTTATTTGTTAATTTGCTGAAATAAGCATCCAATGAATCGACATCGGTTTTGATATTGTTGGCGGTAAGATCACTGGATTGGTTTTGGCTGTTGTTATCAGTGGTGAAAAAACAGTACACTATAAAATCGCACGTTTAAACCAACCTAATCTGACGGTTTAAACGTCATAACGTGATGCTTTTTAAGTCTGACGTTTTATCCGTTCTAACGTGACACTTTTTCCAACATGACGTTTTAACCGTCCGGTTGGAACATTTCAAATCTCTGTATGATTCTGTATTGGGGAATGAAATAGCCAGTAGGCAGGGTGTGAGTTTGAAAAGGTACACTTTGCTAAAGAATGGCTGAAGGAAGATTCTCGCTTTTTTAAAGAAATCCGTTGTTTTTGAAATAAATACGTTTTACATTTCACAGTGATACCATCTTTCTCACAGTAATGTATTTATCTCAAAAACGACGAATTTCTTGCAAAAACTGAGAACGACAAAGAGTTTCTAATTAGAATCTCTTTTTAATCTAAAATGTTAAACACTTATCCAATTATTGATGTTGTTTTTCCTGTAATATTTGTTTATTTTTTTCTTGCTCTACTGTTTTCTTTATAAAAGTTATATTCACAACATTAACGTTGTTGTAATAAAAATACAGAAGTTTATACTGATTTGTTTGTCAATCATTGTCAAACATTTTACTTTGTGACATTCCTCAGGTTATTCTTTGGCATGTGTACTCTAAGGATCGGCAATTCGACAGGTTGCACTACCTGACGGTTTAAGCGTCGGAGTTTTTGTTTATTCAATCGCAGATAACTCATCCGACCTGACGTTTTTTCCTTCAGGTTGCGAAAAAAAGCGTCAAAAATCGTCATTTTGGTCAGGTTGGATTTGTATTTTAAAGGATGATTCATAACCTGAGTCAGATCAGGTTGAAACGGTTAAAGCGTCCGTTTTTTTTACAGTGTACATGTTTGCAAAATAATTTCATCACACCCTTCGCCGTCTTCAACATTTACACTGATTGTTATTGGCAATGAGAAAGGCGTTGGATCAGTTTGGAAAAACGTTTTTATGTTGACATCTGTTGATTTTAATTTAAATGGGTGAGTTGAATGATAGTTTTCAGAATGTTTCTTAACTGTGTCTTTTCGTCTAGACTATGAACAGTAAAAGCAGTGCACAGTTTGTTTAGTGGCATATTTTGAGATCATTTTTCTAGAATATCATTGTAGGGCTACTTATTATGTAAAAAGAAAACAAAATAAGAGCGACAAGATAGAAGGAGAAATGGTAAAAATAATAAACCGACAAAATATGCGTGTACATATGCTGTTTTATGGTGGAAGTGAATATTGCAAAAGAAAATTATATGGTGAATATGTAGATAAAATGATAGTGTACAGTGAGCTCTATGTCAAGGAATGAGTCTTTCTCTGAATTAGTCCAAAAGACTTTCCAGGGTGGAAATTTTTTAAATCTTCCTATATGGAAAAACTCCACATTTTTTCCGTTGGAAAATTTTTCAAAAATTTTCACAGCTTCCAAAACTTTTCCACGTACTCCCATACGAGTTGATTCTGCATCTCTGATGATAAGCCACAATGAATAACTTCGTCAGAAACAGACAAAATGAAAAATTCTTCATCAGGTTTTGATTCGTCAAAAGCATCATATATTCTACCTCAAGGTTAATCGACTCGTCGTTTTATGGTGTCATTCTAGTTTATCCTAACCCTTGTATAAAACCATACTATTTAGTTAAAGATCTTACTTTTTCTTAGCCAATGATTTCAAGTATTCCTTAAATCACTTTTTATCTGTAGTTTACAAAGTGAGATGATACTATTATCCCTTAATCGCAAGTCTTTAGTTGGGATTCTGAATACTGTTACAACAATATCTTATTCATCTCTATGTTTTATAGAAAATTTTATGAACGCATGTCTTTTGAAAGCAACGACCCTTATGAATTTATTTTGTCTCAAACTTCAAGTGATTTCCTTCCCAAAGGTGGCAATCGTGGACGTAAAAAAACAAAAATCGCTACTGCTTCTGAAATAACAGCAACGTTCACCACAAATACACGTCCTGTTACTCCTAGAAAACGAACAGAAAGCGTACCAGTTCGAACTCCGTCTACACGTACGAGAAAATCAGCAACAGTGTTGATTCCGACCAATGTTTCACCATCAAAAATAAGTAAACAATCTAAAAAGTCCGCCAATGATAGCGAATTTTTACCAATAGCACAATCTGGTTTTTCACAGTTCGTCGAAACAAAAAAGGTCGATAAGAAAGAACATCAAAATAAACGAAAACGAAATGTGAAAAAGAAAAAAAATCAAGATGATGATGAAGATTATGATGGACGCCTACCAAAAGTAAAACGCTCAAAACCATCGAAAGCAGGTATTTAGATGTTAGACATTTTGTTGCACAAATATTTTTAGAAAGAACTTTTTTCTTACTGCAAAAAAGAAAAATTCTCGAATCTTTTCTCTTTTTAGTCACATCAAGAGTCGATATCGAACTAGAAAATATCAGTGATGAAGTAAAAGCAATCGAACAAATGCGATTAATTTACGAAACTCCAGGTAAGTTTGTTTTTTTGTAGAAAACTTAGATCTTATAATGTGTTTTTTTTCATGTTTTAGCGGGTCGTACAAATCTCAATAAAGTTGCAGAAAATAATACAAAACTTGTTGATGAATTCATACAACGTCAAACACCTTTGACTACAGTGGTGCCTAAACAGGTTATAAATAAAGCAGCTCGGCAACAGAGTATTAGCAGAACGTCAGGTAAACATAGCCCCTCAACGTTTTACCTTTGAACGAAGAATAGTTGTAGAAATTCATGGTATATCTATTTGTATTCGACATCGTTCGTCTCCTTGTTTAAATGCATACTATTTGAAAAGAGAGTGGCGTCTCTCATTGCTTTGCTCGTCTTTTAGATGTATGTGAATTTGTTTTAGATGCTCGCGCGCACCCACTATAGTTTATAATAGAATAAGCATGAGGAACTAGGGATTTGAAATTAAGAGTTAATTTTTTTGACAAAGAGTGTGTTGTAATCTGACATGCCGTTGCACTATCCATAAAAAGAAGTACTTTGCTTATCGGTATAGTACGTCGATACTTGTATTAGATCAGAAATGGGCAAGTTCCAGTCAGGACTGATAAGCTTTTTTAACCGGACTGAAACTCAAGGCCTAATGTGCTGGGACTGATTTTGCAGCTCAGTCCTTCAATTTTTGGGTTTTAGTCTACAGAAAAATCTAAAGAAACAATGTTTAAATTTAAAAAAAAATTTAAAGAAACAGTGTCATTTCGGTAAAAAGATACAAGACAAAACATGTAATCATGGGAGCGAATGAGAAAACACTTCTAGCTCGGACTGATGTTTATAGGACTGAGACTGAACTGGGACTGGACTGAGACTTGACTCGAATGGGAAAAACAGAGGACTTGTCCATGTGTATTTTAGATTTTCTGACATGAAAGTTGTGAGTGAGCACAAGGAGTTTTTTCTTTCGTTTTCTAGAAAAACATCTCAATGAATTAGCTTGGTTAAATGAAGATTATGTTACACCACAGCCACCAATTGAAATCGTTCCAGTTGTAGACTACGCAAATACTTCAGCAACGTTTATTCCTGATTCCCTTGGGTTCTTCACATCTGCTCATGATAATAATGACACACTTTTTCAAGAGAAAATTGAAAAATTAAATGAAAAAATGGCTGCTGAGCTTCCTATATTATTGACTATACATCCGACAAAAAAAATGGATTCAACGACAACAAACATCACGAATTTGTCTGTATTTGAAAATGTTCGAACATCAATTCATTTGACAAATGATCAGACAATTCAAACAGAAACAGCGCCAACAAAAGATGAAATATCTCAGACAGATCGACAACCGTCGAAAGATCAAATTATTCAAACAAATATTTTAATCAGTTCAGTTCAAACTCAGTGTGAAACAACAGCAGAAAAAACAACAACTAAATCAACAAATACTACTAAAATACATGTTTGTTCATCGACAACGCAAACTCTTTTAGAGGAAAATGTAAAACTAGATCAAAGTGTTCAGACATTACCGTTGGCAAATCAACAAGATCATTTACCACATCATACATGCTGTCGAGATATTATACAATGTCCGTGTGTGCAGTTATACGGTAAAACAGAAAGATTTTTTATGCAAACATTATCAACGTTTTTCAATCGAATACGATCAGTAAATAATGGTCAGCAACAACGTCAACCTCGACGATTAAATGTTAGACGATCGCTATGTAGGAAAGGAACAATTCGATCAAGCAAGTCTCAGCAACCACAAATACTACAACAAGAGGAAGAAGAATATAGAGATATTTCACAAGAGAATGTATGTAGTCTAAAATGTTTTACATGACATTTTTCTTGTCACTGCCGGTTTTTTCTAAAACGCTATCCTCGTATATGTTTTTCCTAGTTCAGTCAGTAAAGTACTTTTTTCTTTTACTCATTGTTTCAGAATATTGATGAAACAACGATAAATGAAAATTATAATGTTATTGAAGCAACACCATTTCCACAACATATTGTTGAACAAAATACTGTGCAACCAAATCAGATATTAGATAATAGTGTATTCTTTGAAGACGATAAATTTCAACATCAAAATGATAACAAGGAAATAACAATTACGGATGAACCAGATTTACGTTCATTTTCTATTGTCAAAGAAGATACAGTTGAACAATCTTCACAAAATATTGAACATTTTTCAGAAGTATCATCAATCGAAATGGTCAGGATTGCAGAGAAAGAATCACCACTCCTTTTTCAACCACTAGATTTAAGACAAGAAAATAATAACGAAGAGAAATGGAAACATATGATTTTAACATCATCATCATTAAATGAACAACAAAAAGTAAGCACTATATGATAACAATTTTGTACGAATATAGATCAGGTGTACTTTATCTTTGAAGTCAACTGCAATATAAAGCGATTGTTCCTAGTCTGTTTGCTGTACAACATCGTTCAATCAGATATTCTATGTTACAATATCTTGTTTCATTTAGTTTGAATTTGATAAGTTTATTAATTATTTTAATATTGAATATTCTCCAGTAGTGAATAATAAAACAACCCATTTAATCACAGATGAAGAAGGTGACACATTAGCTTGTCCACTAACTGGAAAAGTGATTCAAGCAATTTCTCGACACATGTTTATTGTTTCTTATCGTTGGATTATTAAATGTTTAGAACAAAAACATTATGTAGATGAAATAGCATATGAAATTCGTGGTGATTTATCTTGTGATCAAATTCATAATGGAATGTTTAATTCAAGAACAAATCCACAAAATTTACTATTCAACAACTATGCATTCATTTTAAAATGTTCCGGTTGTTTACCATTTTCTGATAATCAACCTTTAATTGAATTGATTCAATTGTGTGGTGGTCTAGTGATTAAAAATTTATCTGACAATGCTGAACATCGTCAAAAGCTCATTTTATGTTCGCAAGAATTTTTTCAAAATAAAAAATCATTTTCTCAATTATGTACAAGATTAAATATTCTATGTTGTAAGCCGCAATGGCTACTTGTATCGATTACAAAGTATGAAATAGTACCATTTAAAGATTATGAAATTAAAAGAATATAATTAAGATTAATCAAGTCAGATATAATTTGTTTATTTTTTCATATTTGCATACGTATAAAGTTGATCTTATTCATTTTTTTATGATAGAAAATTTATGTCAGATATATTTTTTGTATATTAGTACTAGTCACTTCAATAGAAGATCGATACGTCCAAAAAATAAAATTATGACTATATTCTCTTCTTTCTATGATTCGATTTAACTATGCTCGATCTAATTGTCATTATTTTTTTGCTAATCTCTATGTGAAATCATTGATTCAAATCTTCGCACATTTTTTAGAAAATTTTTCGAAACAAACATCTACGTCGAACGATGATGCACATGAACTTGACAGTTCTTCCATTCTTACAAAAGAGAACAAATGATTGATTGAAAAATCATTCATCGTCTACAACTTAAATAACTACACCAAAAACTGGTATTAGGGATGAATTGTCGAAGCAACGATCAAAAATTCAACCTGCTTTGACTGTAGTCGAATAATCACTGAGAAATGTCAACATCAACTACCACCTCACATTAAACGATTGAAGAAAGAATGGCATTGTTGAAACGCATTTGTTTCTCCCACTAGACAGGTTGTAAAGACTACGTACGTAAATATAATCCCTGGAAAGTTTTTTACAAGGCATTTCGCATATCAGTGTTTTCCATTTATTACTATTTTTTTTTGTATGCCAGTACACCGCTTTGAAGTCTTCAAAACGTTGCATCTGATGAAATGTACTACAAAGCATAGATAGAACCGATGTCAGAGAACTACAGATCTGGTCCTGCTTAAGAATTTCTGATGGTTCACAAATTAAAAAATTTTGATCGATCGGTTCTTTTTTCGCAAAACTATACTCTTTTAAGGCCCCTTCTCGGCCAGAAATCTATCTCGGTAACCACAAGTCTGATCTGAGCGAAAATGTTGGGGAAGGTTGGGCATGTTGAGGAATAGTTACTGTATAAGTTTCGACGCTCCAACTATCATCGTTTAGGAGATATCGCTCGAACATGGATCAAAATGGGGCATCTATCGTCCGGCAGATTTCTCCTCTCAGAAAACAGCTGAAGAGCTCGGACTGGTTTTAAAGTATAAAATGAAGTTAGAGTAACGACGTAACAGAGCCGGATTTTGAATTTTTTCTTTGTTTTAATTTCTGAAGAATTTCACCTCAAAACTTCGAAAAAAGCGCAAAAATTCGTATATCACTTTCAACACTGTAAAAGAATGACAGCCTAAATCAAAAATCGGGCTCCGTTACGTTGTTCCCATACGTCTTACCTTCAATTTAAAAACAAAAGTTCATTTTGACTTTTCGTTACGGTCAAATCTGCCGAACAGTGGGCTCCGCCAAGCAAAAAACGCAAAATAAGTTTTGATTCTGTTAAATGCGTTTTACTTAAAAACTGTTTGAACGTTAAATAATTTGTTGATATTTTGCTAGATGTTATTGACTACGGCAGATCTAATGAACATGTGCGTGGGCATGTGCGACACATGCGTGCGCTTATGCAATACAACTGAGCTACTTGGGTACAGAATTATTTTAGTGAGAATGAGAAAGTTTTCATGCAAGAGTTGACTACTTTCACTTTCTCTCTAAGTGCTGTTGATCATGAGGAAAGAACATCGTTGTTGCCGTTACAGTAGTGTTAGATCTCTTGCTGACGAGCTTTTCTCCTCGAACAGTACATACTTTATTTTCTTTTAGTCTACAGTTATTGACTGGAACAATTTTTTAGAATTTTTTAGAATTGGTTATTTCACTTCTTTTATCAATTCTCTTAAAATTTTTGTGTTGATGTTGCGCTATTTGTTTTTTGCTACAAGATACAAATGTGGAACAGCATCAGTCACTGTCATAAATGATGCTGTTGTTAATTCAGCAACAGTACGTTTATTATCCTTGAACGGTTTAATATTGTATAATTATTTTCTATTAGAAAAAGTCAAATAATCATGATGACATAAATATTAATCACCATTAAAATTGTTTATCTGAATATTTTCATTTACATACGAAATGAAATGTTCGTATTATCTTTGTAATGCAGCAGCTGCTAATCAAACTAAAGATAAAAGAAAAGATCGAAATTATAGTGGCATTGTTGAATTTTTATAAATTAATTAAATTATTTGTTTTTCTCTTTTCTATTAAATTCGTTTGGTGATTGACACAAAAAAATAACTGGGACATAAAATTTAGTATTTCTTATATTGCATACTGTTGTATGCATCAATGATTGATGATAATAATACGTCTTTCACCTCTGATCATGTTCTACATTTCTTTATAGATGTCTAGTATTCCAGTTGTGCTTAATATTCTACTAGCTTTTGTATTAACATTAATATTATTATATCGTTGTGGAAATTGGCGTCGACAACAACCAATAACCATAATAGCAGTGTTTATCGCCTGGTTTTTATCGATATTGTTCGTTTTCTTATTACCATTTGACATATCACTAGTATGTTCTTTAACATTCTCAACTTGCTTCTTGTTTTATTACTTTCTGACTATATTTCTAGACTTCTTATCATCAATGTTTGAACAAGAACGCATCTTATCCAGCTGTAATCCCAAATCCTTCATCTGTGAGTAATTACTCAGTTAGAGAGTATAGTATATGAGTGTGTCTCATTTGGGTGCGTTCGCCTTTGAGCGCATCTTATTTTAGCGCGTCTTATGTGGATACGTTTTCAATTACACCACTCATTCTAGAGAATATTTTGAAACTTTTGAACTGTTTCTGTCATCTTTGTTTGTTATTAATTCTTAGTGGCTAGTCATCTTTTATTTTAATTTCGAAAAAGTTGTGAGCATTATTTTGACAATGTAGTTTCATTTTAAGACGAAGAACTGCTATGTACGTTTAGAAGCAGCCACAACATCTTCCAACTGCCAAAACATAATCTAACGGTTGAGTTAGACATAGATTAAAATCATCTGTTATACGCTGAGTCTTCGATATTTGCATTTTTTTCGATCCAGCACGTAAATTTTTAATATTATGTTGAACTAGAACATATTGTGCTTGCAATCGTCATACAGTCGTTTGTGTTTGTAGTAGCCATGATTCAATATCATTATTTGTTCGACTATCTTGACCAAAAACGTTTCATACTTCACTATCATACTGCCCATTTAGCCAGATATTTGAAAAATAATGATAAAACAGGTGCATTTTATGTCGTATACGTATTGGTATCGAATCAACTACTTCACCATAGGTGGATTGTACTAAATGTGTCAGTAGAAATGAAATGTCTGAAATAAAAGATGATTAGTCACTGAGAATTAATAACAAACAGTAATGACAGACGCGGTTCAAAAGTTTCAAAATATTTTCAAGAATAAGTGGTGTAATTGAGAACGCACTCGAATAAGATGCGCTTAAATGAGGCACACTCAAGTGAAACCTCACCACTCAGTGACTAGTAAGTTTTCAATATATGATTTACTTTAAATATCTGATCTTTTTTCACAAAACAGATAAATAATTCTGATTGTCCACGACCGTGGTCCTATGTTCATCCAACATCCTATAAAGTTTTATGGAGAATTATTTATTGGACATCACAATTTTTAACATGGTATGTATCACGATTTACTATTTAAAAAATTTATCAAAGCATATTTTTTTTTTCGAAGGTTTCTTCTCCCGTTTATGCAATCTATTTGTCAAACGGGTGAATTTTCCATAAAAGGCAAAATTAAATATGCTTTAAGAACAAATTTAATATATTACGGTAGTTTACTGTTAATATTTGGCATATTAGTAATTTATGTTGCTTCTAATTATCATTTGGATGCAGCAAAATTAAAAGTAATTATTATTATTATTTTCTTTTTTGTATATCTACATAGAATTTAATATTATTTTATATTTTTTCTAGGCAATTGTGGTTACAGCTTCAATAACATGGGGTTTATTTTTACTCGTATTAATGTTGGGTTATGGACTTGTTCAAGTACCATTGACAGTATGGAATCATTCTCGTACATCATATATGTTATCACACGTTCAGTTTAAATTATCCCAACTTTATAATGAAAAAGTTGATATTGAAGAAAAACTTGATCATATTGTCGATGATGTATCAAAAACATGTACTCATATTAGATATAATGATCCATTAAGACAATGTCTTGAAACAATAACAAAAATTGTACCCGAACAATATCAGAATAGAATTAAATTGAATATGGACGATTATGAAGATTATTCAAATGATAATAATACGTATCATAAACAACGAACATCGGTTATGTTAGATTTACCAACAGAAAAACAATTAATTAAGTTACATGGAAATTTAAAAAAAACTATTCATGTTCATCATCGTGTTCAAGCATCGTGGATACATATGATCGATGAAGCATTTTATCTAGAAGATTTAGTTTTAAATGAAAAAAATACAAATCATGAATTTAATCATACGTCACCATTACCAAGATCATTGTTAAGACAAAAATTATTTCAAAAACATTCATCTCTAGGTACGTTGTTTATAGGCGTATGTTTCATTTCATTTTCTCTAAAAAAGAAAAAAAGAAAAGATCTCTTTTCTCACATTGCATGAAATGTCATACACATTTTGAATAGTTGAAATTTAAAAAATCATCGTTCAAAGTGGAAACAAACGTCTTATAGAATTTATGAAAAATCTCATAGAAGATACTTTAGACGTTAAAACAACAGTAACCATTTTAAATGGAGGTTTTAAATTCAAATGTATTATTGATTTTATCAGATAAAATTATTTATCAAATCCCGCAGCAATAATATAGTTGATTGAGAGCATAGATAGTAGAGAAAGAAAATATTTTAGAAACAAGTCAATTGAGATTATTGTAAATTTATATTGATGTTAAAAGTTATTTTTCTTTAATATTATTTATTGTATTCCGACAAACAACATAGTGAAATTGAATTGAACTTTGTATCTGTGAGATATAACGAAACATATGGCTAAATTGCTATAAATGTGACTATTAGATACTTTTAGATACTTTTATTAGAAAACATATGGAAAAGATCTAGTAAGAATATTCGATGAAATATGATGAAAATTGAAATGAAATTAGGAAAATATTTTTACTTTTATTTTATAAATATTATTCTATTGCATTGAATAGATTTTATATGGTGAAATAAAAGCATACGATGTGTTATTTAAATGTTAACAAAGAAAACTGTTAACGAGTGAGAGTGTGAACAATCTCGAATATCAGAATTGAATTCATCCGCCGCTATTACAAATTGTTTGTAAAGCTGATTAAAAAATTAAAATTATGAATTAAAAATTGTCCATGTTCATGATAAAAATTTGTTCGAAAAAGAAACAAAAATCTGAATCATGAAGATTTTATCAATACTGGAAAAGTGAATAGACTTGAGATAAAAATAAACGTATGTCCGAATGATGAAAAAATAAGAAAGCTGATTACACGTTTTTGTAATGAATAACGTATGAATGACGATATTAATAAAGTTGAGTCATACATGACAGTTTTATAAATAGTTATGCAAACCAGAGATCGGTCTGGGTCGGTTTTTTTTCCACCCGGTCTGTATCTGGGCTCACGAATATTGGCCCGATTTGTTCCGATCCGGAGAGAACGCATAAATTTTTCGGAGCGGCTCGTAGAATGTATGCGGAACGGATACATTTGGATATATAGAACGGATACTCAAATTTTTGGAACTAATTCTCCAACGATAGGAATTACATAAATAGTGAACACGCTAAATACTGCATACTGTTAACTAAGACTGAAAAAGAAGTGGTATTCTGATCGTTCTCTATCATTTTCCTTCGCCTTAGCAAACGATCTTAACTAAACATTGTTGTTCTTTTTATTATACTCAGAATGGTATACTTACTGCTTAATTCGTCCATGGTTTTTGCGTATATGTGGTGTAGCATTGGGTGCAATGTCATTAATTGTTATTTGGTCTGAAATGACATTTTTTAGTACAAAACCGATATTATCAATATTTGCCGTAACATTAAATGCAGCACGAAAACATTATGATTATTTTACAATTGAAGTATGTCATGTTTCTATTGATATTTAAATTATTTTTAAAATGAATTTCTTTTCTTTTTATATTAGATCTTCTGTTGGTTTAGTATATCGTATTTGTGTATATGCGCTTATTATACAATATTTCGTATGCGAATATTCAATTATTTCTTTTTATCATTATATCATTTAACAGATGAAAATAGTTTGATATTTGCTGCTACGTATGTTGAAAGAGATGTTAAATAGCTCTATCATCTATTTCAAAGTTTTTTCTAGATTTTTTTGTCGTTTAACCGCACCACTTAGTTTCAATTTTCTTGGACTGGTACATCTTGATAAAGCGATAGCAAAAGAAATTACTCATGAAACTGTCTTTACAAGTGTAAATGTCTCGTTTTAATTGATTAAGACTTATTTTCTACAAATATCTTATTTTATCTAGATAATGGGTGGTTTGTATGTAATACCAATTATATCAAAAGGATTTAATATTTATTTTCCAATGTTGATATTTTTTCTTTGCATTGGAACATTTTTTCGACTTGGTAGTCGATGTTTAAGATGTATTGGTATTCAACAATTTTTCTATGATGACGATATTGCTTCAGAATATGTTGATGATGGAAAAAATTTAATGAAACGAGGTACTTTTTACAGGCTTTTCTATAGACTTTCGACACACACACACACACACACACACACAATTAAATGGTTTCAATACGGCTCTATGGAGAGATACTGTAGTTTTCCAGTGCAAATTCAGCTTTTATATGGTACTTTCTCTAAACTCGTTTTTGCTTGTTTTCCCCTAGAGAGGCGAAATTTTGGCGGTACGTTGCCTAATCAAACAACAACGACAACAGCCGCACAACGTCGTGATCGCCGACGAGAAATTGAAGAAAAATATGGTCTATCAGGAGTAATAACATCATCAAGAACTACCGATACAATAGCAACAGATATTATACAACCGAATTCAAATGGTAAGTTAGTTTATTCCCATTATGTATATCTGGTAATCTTTGCTTATTCTATCGTAGAAAATCATCAATTGAAACCATCACTAAGTTATGATGAACCATTATTGAATCTCAACAATGACAAAGGTTATTTATCTCCTATCCAACCAATCTTATCAGGTTAATATTTTATATGTTTCAATATACACTTATCGGTTCTTCTAGCAATAAAGCCAAATAGTTACGAGATCTGTTGGAAGAGAGTTTTTATTAGCGCTTAGATTGAATCAGAGATGTCAGAGCCAAGTGAGAAATGATATAGATTACAGTTAAATCCTAAATGATTTGCAAAGATTTTTCAATATACCATAATTTGATGGTAAAAAGAAGCCAAATCGAGTGGATAACTTTTTAAACTGATTAGTGCGCTTTATGATGTTTGCACAAATAAATAGAATCTTTTGTTTATCTTTCTATTGGTTTTAAAAAACTGTCACAAATGTTAATAATGCTAAATCGCAAATTGATAATAACAATTTGATCATCGTGCTATGTTAATCTAATTAAGCTTGAAAGAAAAGTACTCAAGACGACCCTGGTTCGACTATGACTTGAGAATTAAGAGTGATTTTACTTGATCAGACCTCTATTAGGATGTTTGTCATTGATTGGTTTTGTTTGTTTATTGAAAAAAATCTTATCATTATTTATAAGAATATTCTCTATCGATAGTTTAAACAATCAGTGACGATTGTACGATAATTATCTGCAATGAAAATTAAGAGATTAACAAGTACATGATAGAACTTTTTCAGACACCGTTAAAACAGTGAAAGTCAAATTAGGTGATGAATGTTTTATTTTTTTGTTTGTATAATTATTTCTTGACTTTAAATCGTAGGAAATAGAACTAACCGTTGTGCAGATTGATTCCAGTATTAGCTCAAATGTATTATCGTATATATTTCTACCTTTCTTCTTTTTAAATATGAAAAATGCTAATAAAAATTACGAAATGTTTTTGTTTCTCTCTTACAGGTTCATCAAAGAGAGGACTTCCTCCGACAAATATCTTCAATAATGTTTAGCAAGAAAATGTTCAATTATTTCGATAATAAAAATTTTGACAACAACGACGTACACTAACGACATTTCTCACACAAGTGATCATTCTCAGTATAATTTGCTTTCAAAGCAACATTTCTCATGTACTTTTTTCAGAGTTGAATAACATTTTCTCCGATCTATGGATAAATTCTCATTGATCTTCTCTAACTTTGGATCTTAACTCTTTCTCTTTTTCTTCTGAGATCTCTATTTTTGAAAATATTTTCCGATATCAACCAATTAAAACAAAATCAGATTTAGGATCTAATCATTGATTTATTCTCATAACAGGTATATTTATTTATTTTTTGTTCATATTTTTCTTTTTTATCATTTCCACGATGCATTGATTCCCACGAAAGGATATACGAATTAGCCGTGGAATTTTTTTTTAATATAAAAAAAATATATGATACTCAAACGAAATTTTAGTCATGTTATTTTATATTATCTCCATGTGATTTTATTTGTTTGTTGTTTATTGATGTTTTTAATTTATTTTGCTGAACTATAACAGTTGTATATTTATAAGTGAAAGATGTTGTACAGTTTGTTTTGTATTGTGTGTAATAAACGTTAAAAAAAGATATATCAAATTTTAATTGTATTTTCTCTTAATCATGATCTTAAAAGATATTTTTCAATGAGAATTGAGATGTTATTCATTTACCAAGATTAAAAATAATATATAATTTGATAAAAAATATCTAAAAATCATCTTGAGATCTTAGAATAAAACATCGTTACTGTTCTTATGCCATCAGTCATCTAATCTCGTTTACACAAGAAAAAGAAAGAACAGTGTGACTAATGTGTATCAAACATAAAAGAAGAAGAAAAAAAAAATATTTGTTTTTTCTTTTCTTTTTTTTCTCTCTTATCTGCTGACTTGTTTCATATACAGGGGTAACACATCTAGTGAGGAGCAAGTGTGCTTTTGTCATTATTGGCATAGTTCCTTTTTTTTTTCTAGAATGTTTTATATTTTATAAAAATGAACACAGGTGAACCCCAACCAACAACAAATACTTTAAATAATTTGGCAGCTGTTCGTGCTGATGTTCGTGATACGACAACTGTTTTACATACAACCATTGATAAATTAATTCAACGTGGTGAAAATTTAGATAATTTAAATACACGTGCCGAAGATTTATCTGGTTCAGCTTATTTATTTCATGGACGTGCTAGACAAGTTCGTCGACGAATGCGATGGGAAAATTATAAAGTGACAATCATAATTGTATGCGTTGTTATTGCTATTATTACAATTGTTGTTTTAGTAATTGTGCGCCCATGGAAAAAAAAATGAACTATTGAATAATTGTGAACTTTCGATGTAAAGCTTTTTTATTTTTATTGCTGATTTTTTTTTCTAAAATGTTTATTAAAATACGATATATAGACGCTGAATATTCAACATTTGCAATGAATTTCAATATACAAATCAGGACTCAAAAACAAATGAAAGTGAAATCTTCCTGGTGAAAATTTAAATTTTAAAATTTAAAAACTTAAAATTTAATTTCGTGACTTAGATATTTTTTCCAAAAATTCTGAAAACCACACCGTCGGATAGAGAATCAAATCCTGTACCAAAGGGCTCATTTGTTTTGACGTTCAGATGCTAATTTTTCTTCTAAAACATGTTTTGGTGCTTATTTTGTGAGCAATTTTATGCCCATTTAATCCAACTAAAATTTATTTTTGGCTGCATGGGATGGCAGGCACCCCAAACTATTTATCTATGTGCAAATCAGAGTTTGTTAAGTAGTTCTGTGACAGAAAAAATATATACCAAACCATTTGCAAAACAAAAAACGATGAAATTCTGTAACCGTCACTTTTACTCGATTTCCTCAGTAACGGAACTAATTGAAGAAAAAGTCGGTAGTGATTCTCATAGTCCTATGAGCTTTAATTTGGTAATTAAGCAATCATTTTAAAATTAATTTAAGACTAAACAATTTATATTTTACTGGACTACTCCGAAAAAGACTTCCATTTTTTGAAATTCAGTAATGGCCTCTATTTTGACTACAACTTTTGAACCGCTTGTTCAATCAAGCTCAAATTATTTTTGATAGTAGAACTCCCTAGTATCCATCATTGGTATAAATTTTATTGATAAACGTTGCTTCTTTGCCGAGATAAGAGAAACTATTTTTAACAAAGTTTGTACTACAGTTGTCGCTCTCTTGAAAAAAGAAGTCTTTTGCGCATTGAAAATATAGAGAAAATCCACTCATATATTTTTGCTGTTACTCTTGCACCATATGTTTTAAAATCTGTCACTTCAGTTTAAGGCGCATCCCTCGGGAAATATTCTTGCAGTATTATTACCGTTATTGACGAAGTATTAGTCATAATAAAGTAGAACTGTGAGGATGATTCCTAAATCTAAAGTACAAAGTGGAGAATCCAAAAATTGCTTCAATAATTTGTAAACACCTATATCTAGGTCTTCATCAAACAGCTTTTTCAAATTTTAAATCTCTTCTGTTCGAAAAAACTTTTGAATTAAAAAGCGCGAAAACCCCTTCGAGATCTTGGTGTGTACACTAAAAGAAGTCTATCTTAAAAATCGAGGTATGTCAGGACCAGGATAATTAATTTATCTATCAAACAGAAACAAAAAAGTTTTGCTTTCGGATGAGGTTGAACGGAGAAAATCTTCGAGAAGTGGATAGAAAAAGGAATAATAAACGATTTTGAGATAAATGCTGATTAAGTTTTCAGAAGAGGAATACACATTACCCAGATTGGGTAGGTTTAAATAGGTTCATATTATATGCCATTCGAAAGTTTTCGATGAATCTGATCCAGTGATGCATGTGTCGGCACATGGGTATGTATATCATTCGTCGACTAAAGCAAGTGATATTGTCGACAAGTCATTTTGTCGACGAATATTTTGTTGAGAAATATGCGTGAAAAAATTACTAATGCTCAACAGCACCAATTTATACGTTGATTTTATTGAGCAGATAGAAGAAAAAATAACAGCTAGATAAAGACAATATAGATGACTAGCAGACTAACAAGATAGCAAAGTGAGGGTGAGTGTGAGTTGTCGACTGAATGAGTTATCGAGGAAAAACAGTCGAGAAACATATATCGACGAAATAAATTCGACAAAATACCTTGTCGACAAAAAGGAAATTTGTCGACAAACTATCCAATCTATTCGACGAATGATATGCAATTCGACACATGCACACACATATGCGGTTGCAAAATTGCTAAAACGATGTTTAGTGATCAAACCTAGATGAGTTCACATTAGGAATACATCAGTTACAGATTTTTACCAATCAACTGTAGTTGTAAAATTGTAAAACTCTCAATAACTGTAACTGCATAACTGTTACAACAACTGGAACAGAGAAGAAGTGTAAAACTAGTAAAAAAAGTATTTAACATTTTGGTTTAATATATTTGTAAAAATTTGAAAAAGTTTTGAAAAAAAACAAATTAAAAATAACCAGTAAAGTTTACTGTTACACGGTATTTTCAATCCTATAAATATACAAATAGAGTAAAATAGTATTTCCTGGAAGCTTCAAATGGTTTGGTTGAATTCTTATGCTCAGCTTTTCTTTTACGCTCATAGCTAAAAGTAATATTCCCTTTAAAACTATAAAGACTTGATTCTCGCATTACTTTCTGAAAACAAACATTACCTTGTGCTTCAGCATTGCCGATAATCTAAAAAACCACTTTTCCAGAGGGTAGCCATCTTAATACTTATAATGTAAAACGCACTGGTAGAGTCCTGCATGTCGAACACGAAGCCGCGGATTCGTATTGAAAAAAGTTCTTTTGGATCTGGAACATTTTTCCAGATTCTAGCTTTAGTCTTTTCTTTGGGTTTTAAAAATATAATTAAACCGTCAATGACCAATTTCGATTAGGTGAGGGACGCCGGAAGAATTTCCCCTCCTTGTTTGAAATGAATTACTCACTTGAGAAAAAAAACTTACTCAGTTCATAAAAGAATTTGCTCACTCAGAAAAGTTGAAGGCCTTTTCTTTTGCTGGTTATCAGCTGAATTTTTTTGACAAAAAACCTACTCAGAAAAGTTATTTACGAGACATTCTAAGAGCAAAACTCTTTCTGTGCAAATTGTTTTTTTGAGTGTATTCAAGATATTCTTTGGGTTTCTTTGTTTGTCTAAATTTCTATCGTTTCTTTTTTTGCTTTTTTTCGCGTTGTGAAGTTTAAGATTATTTATCGATATTATCTTATATTCGACACAATGTTCAAAGTGAAGAACTGTGGCTTTGTATGCCGGGTATTAATAGTCAGAACTCAAACCGAGCATTCTCTTCGTATGCTGAACTCAAACATCACGTAGAAAGAAGTCATTTTGGACAAAAATCCTTGTATTTATCATCTGGGGATTGCTACAGTGCTTTGATGGTTGTATGTGTGATATCTGAGTAGTGGTTATGTCACCACTCTATAGTAGGCATTGGTACAAAACATCCGCTTATTCCGAAAGTTTTCGTCTAGTATAGGTTTTTACTAGTTTTAGTTAGGAAACTTTTCCGGAAAACAAACGTTGCTACGAGATTCCGCGGTGTCGAAAATCTATGTTTTCATGCGAAACCGAACTTAGCTGCGTCAAAATGCCTTTTGGGGATATCGGCGCGTGAAATCGAGATCCCGAATAAAAGAATTTTGATCGAAAAAATACTAAAGCTTCCCTGGCAATGTAGTTTTCCAACAACCACTGAGGCCATTCAACCTACAATTACCAGCATTCTTTTTTGAAATGGACAATAGTCAACTACTGTCCTTTTCAAAATCATGGTGGCCATTTTTCGAATAGCTCGAGAACGAAATGTGGCAGTGAGTTCGAGTTTTCACCATTTCAAAGAAGAGACTTTGAGTCACATTTCAATAACTCATATTAATGACAAAATATTTTTCTAAAGTAGGGTTTCGAGGAGATCTTTGGTAAATCAGCTCATAGCTTAAAACCTTCAAGTACAAATACTTTTGTTTTTCTTCATGGGTAGATAACCCAAAGTATCCTCTTGAAAATGGAAGTCAAGCGAGACCTTGATTTTCAGTGGTTCGACCGTGGTATTCGATTTTCTTGGAGCCTGTAGACTGGTGTCGAGTGACTTCAGATAGTCTTGGAATTGGGTGGAAGATACGTAACTGACCACGCTGAACCTGCTGGTAATGTTTGTTTTGCATAAAGAATTCAAAAACTGAGTGAAAAGCGAGTTTTATCAAAATTAGGGTTTTTAGGCTGTTGTCACTGATATTAAAAAATTCACAATTCACTTGGAAAACATCAGAATGGCTTGAAAACTTCAGGATGTGAAACCCCAATTTAGACTTAGAAAAATATTTTGTCATTAATATGAGTTATTGAAATGTGACTCAAAGTCTCTTCTTTGAAATGGTGAAAACCCGAACTCACTACCACATTTCGCTCTCGAGCTAACAAATCAAACTAAGTTTATTCTGAAAGTCTGAAGAAATTTGGTTGCGAATGAAGGGGCTATAAGGTTGGTCACTGTGGAAAAATCATATTTTCTGAAAAATTTGTCTTTTGCAGTTTTATTAACCCGGGCAACAAAACAAACATTGCCACGGTAATCAGCGTGTGTGCAACGTATTTTGGAGGCTCTTATGGCTCGATAGGTACGGCCTCGGGGATTCCCTGTAGAGTTCGAGCCATGGGGACCAGATGGGGAGGTGGGGATTACGGCTTGTTGAGTGACATCTGCTCTACACTCACATGTATTTAGAGCAATATCTCGATATGTGGATTTTTGGAATGACAAGCTCGGACTTTCTACGTCGAAAGATAGATCATGGTAGACCTGTTGAATAAGGCTCCTTTTAGCATACGATTATGGCCTCAGATGTCCTCTTTCATAATCTGGAAATCACAACTCTGTAGCTTGTTCCGTTCTCGAGTTATTCAAAAAATATCCTACTCCATTCTTTTTTCAGCTGGATAGTAACGGGCGGGCCATAAAGAATGGTGGTCTTAGTATTTCATTAATATCTCTCTCAATTTTCATTATCAACCATTCAACTTCTTTTAAATGATTTGTCATTTGATTCTCTACTGGAAATATATGGAACATTTTTTTGTGGCATAGAAATAAAAGAATGTAGGTGAAATACTCCGAAGCGTCTATTCCATTATTTCTAACCCAAAAAACAATTTTTCAATTTTAGTTCTTTGTATTTTGCGATACAAATTAGAGAAGGTGACCGTTTTGTAGCCCTTGAAAAGCTCTATCAACTGGCTATGTGTACAACTCTACATAATCGCTAAAACAGCAGAACACTCAACCAGAAAATTTTTACAATCGAAAACAAATATTTTGAGGTCTGGTATGTCTTATCTTGAAGACAAATAATACTTCTGTTACATCCGAACCGAGAAAGTACGATAGCTCCATTTTCATTCCACTGGCAAGGCGAAAATATGAAAATTTTCCTTTTTTTTGGTAGACTATGTAAAATTACCTTTTGTATCAGAAAAAAACACCTTCAGAGCCAACCTCTGATACATGAAAAGAAAGATGACACTTTCAACCAGCAGAATATGCGTTTTGATTCTACTTTGTTGCATAGCATCATGTTCAAAATAAATTTCTTTTCGTTGTTTTCTGTTTGAAAGTAATGGAAATGGACGATTTCACCTACATTCTTTTATTTCTATGGCACATAAAAAAATGTTAATTTGTTTTTTGTAGAGAATGAAATGACAAATCTTTCAAAAAGAAGTTGAATCGTTGGTAATGAAAATTGACAGAGATATTAACGAAATGCTGAGACCGCCATTCTTTATGGCTCACCCGTTAGTTGTATTGCTCATTCTGCGTTTTTGTATACATCAGACATATTCAATTTTCACAGTGCATTCTATTCTATAAGTGTTTGTAGAGGACATATAGAGAAAGAATGTTCAAAATCAAAACTTGTCCCACATTATTTTCTGTCTCAGCACATTCAAAAATCTTAACATCACCACGTATAAAGGCGAATATTTTGTATAACAGATCCATCAGAAAAACTGACTTATGTCTCTGTAAGTGTCTGAAATAAACGCCATGAACACATGACATCTGTATCCAAATTTAGTATTTTTCAAAAGTATTCTTCTTCTTAAAAAGAAATTTCGATATATAAAAGCAGAAAACGATGATGCGTTTTACGTATGGGAACGTTTTCCAATTAATTTAATTGTATTTCCATTGAATATTCCATATCTACTTAACAAATAATCGGGATGATTATGGAGTCGTTGTCCTCGATAGTAGATTCGTTGTTCATCGATTGGAATACGAAAATTATGTTGCAACGATCTTGATAAATCATCTGATGTTGGCTCGTTTTGGGTTTTCAGTACAACTTCTTGAATATCACCACCGAAATGCACTTGCAACTTTGTATAATAATATAATTTTTCATTCATTTATTACTTCGATAAGCTCTTTAATGGAAAATAGCTCATAAAAAGCTCAGAACATATAACTAGCTTTTTCATTCTAATTCAAGTTTGACAACTACAAGATAGGAACTATTATTAAGCCACGTTCACACGACACTTTTTAACTTAGTTTAATCCAAATCCTAACCGAGTTCGAAATGACACCGTTCAGATGCTCCTGGGGGATTGACCAATGTGAAAATACTGAAAATTACCTTCTCGATAATTTTTCGACCTTCGAATAATTTGCGGGATGCTGTATGAGCTACAAATGCGCTTCGACCTGCATATGTGTATAAGTTATTTGACCATAACGCATGTGTAGAAGATGTGGCTAACCACTGATTGATCGATGTTTAATAGGGTGTCCTTAACCGAGTTCTATAAACTTGGGTAACTAAACCAAGTTGACAAATTGCCAAACTGAGTTCTTAAACTAAGTTAACAAAATGAGTGCGTTCACACGGGACAAGATTGGAAAGATTAGGATTAAACTAAGTTAAAATGTATCGTGTGAACGTGGCTTTAGCGGTAAGATGTGAGATCAAGTTCGAGTCTGAGGATGGTGGCCACAAATGTTTTACTTACTAATTGCAGTATTTTGCAAAGGAAATTGCGTGTTGTGTCGTTTTATTTTCGTTCACTACGACTACACTACAAATTATTTGCATAAGAGTTGAAGAAAAAAAATCCGTTTTCGTCGTTCTATGGTATCAATCTTTTATTCTTGGTTGTTACAACAGTTTACCTACATTTTAGTAGAAAAGAAATTTCTGAACTTGAAGAAAAAGAGAAAGGAATTCATAATAGGCTTTTCGTGTGTATAAAAAGCAAACGAATACTATTATTGTGTGAAATAAATAGCCTTGTATATCAAAACAAAATTAAAATCTTGAAAAATACGCGATTAACATTTAAAAGAACGCCCGTACTTTTAAGTCGTTCAAATGATGAAACTTTACAGCATTCCGGAGGCTACACTAGGCAACATTGGAATTTTAGGCGAAAGAAAGCCTGTATATTGCATGTTGTTGACTTACTGCCTCTGTTTGTTGGAAATGCCTTTCAGTGTTTATTACTAATCCAAAAGTCAACATTTTCTATCAAATTCATATTTTATGCAAAGATCACGTATCATTCCAATTTATATTCTTTCCAATATACAACATACAGTGTAAATATATATACACTGATAGTATTATTGTTCTTCAGCTGACAATATTCCCATAAGTTTGTCACATATTTTGTGAAACTCTTTCAGTATCTACTAAGGAGAAGGAGTTGAAGTTTTATACTCAAAACTTTTGGCCTGTTTTCTAATCTCCCTTCCCTTGGTGTATTCATCTTAACAGAGCGATGTATCCCTCTTAAAAAGGTAGTGTATTCATCTTAAAAGACAGTTGCAATTCTGGTTGCTCCTCTATATTACTGTACACTATTCTCAATACCATCTTTCGCTAACGTAAAGGAGTTTCACCATTTTAGCCCCACAAGGGGCTGCTCTGACAAGATTTTTATTCTCGACTTCTACTAGTCATGAAGCCCGTGTTCTTCAGTCAAGTGAGACAGAAAAGTCTCTCAGTAACCAAAATTAAATGATGAAAACTTTATCAGGTATTGCCATCGGGTTTTAATCATTTTCAAGAATCTTTTTTACTTGTTCACATAATTTTAATTGCTGATTCTAAACATGCTTTTATGCTCATATATTTCTCTTTATTGTAAAACATGATTTTGTGACTCATTAATAAATCCCTTATTTATAGGCGAGTACAGAAAGAAAAAAATAATATATATACATATATATATTTACATACGTATATTTATACTATGGTATGAAAGAAATAACTCCTGTATGTATGTATCTCCTTGAAAAAACGAAAACAAATTGATAATACTCTTGAACTACCATAAAAATATTGTATTCAAATTTTTTCTTGTTTTCTTCTATATATTATCTATATATCTCAACTTATTTCTTTGTCTTAACATCTATCTTTCATCGTGTAGACTATATGTGCGTTGATTTTACAGCTGAGTTTAAATCAAATGACATGACCTTATCACGTCTGTATTTGAGAAGATTTATCAATGAAGGGAGTCTCGTACTTGAGTGTTTGAAAGTATTAATATAAATATTGTTGAATGTACTATTTTCATATCTTTTCATTAACCTAATGGGTTCCAGTAATTCTAAACGAAATAAAAAACAAAAATATATTTCATCAAGTACACATGTCAAACAGGTATTGCAGTTATATTCTGGTACCGAGACACCTAAATCGGCTTTTATTTTCATTTTTCTTATCAATTTCTGTCGAGAAACATCGATCAATTTAAAGTTTTATTATATTTTAGTCAAAATCAACGAGGTTATCGTCGACAATGTACGAACTAATCTGTCTGGGTGTTGGCAAAGGAGCTACAGCTGTGTATAATAATAAGACGAGCAGTTCATTTGCAATTCGAAATAAAACTAATGGTGAATGTGTTCTCATTATAGACATGGGCCTCGGTTCACTATATTCATTTCAACAATATTTTCCTCCAAATACAAGAATAAAGAATGTTTATATTTCTCATAATCATACGGATCATTCCGGTGAATTACCCGTTTATATCGCGAATGAAGCTCCAAAAGTGACTGACAGTTCATCAAAACTTAAAATATTTAGTCATAAAGATGTTCTTCAACGTTTGCAACAACATCGATGTCATGAATTGTATTCAGCAACAATCGACTATTTTAAAAATGTTTGTTGGATGCCATGTGAAGAGAATCAAATGATTTCATTAGATGAAAATGGTAGTTTGTGTTTAAAAGTAGCTCGAAGTCAACACAATGAATTATGTTATGGTTTTGTTTTATATTGTCAAAATAAACCAATATTAAGTTTTTCAGGTGATAGCGGTTTTAATCAGAATTTTTTTCATTTTTTATACACAGCGCCGGTTATACTCGTTGATGGAAGAGACAAAGGCACGTATGAGCATGCTGGTTTCGATGAAATATTTAATTTTCATCAATCATCACCAGTTAAAGACAGTCAAACAGTTTATGTGTATCATTACGGTCTTGAAAACGAAGCACCGTCATTTCAAATATCAGCCATAAAAGCTATTCGACCAGGCGATATAGTATCCTTGAGCACACTACAAGATGGACAAGATTAGTTTTTCAAATTGATACACGATTTATATTCTAGAAGAATTACTTTTTAAGATTTATTAGATAAATGGAAGACTTCCATGATCAACTGAATTATGTGAAGTAAAAACTTTTCTCTGCTTGTAATAAATGTGGAAGACAAAACTTTTTCCAATGGTGTGGTTCTCACATGCGTGGTTTTAGAGTCGAAATAAGTTAGGTATAAAACGCTACAATGCATGAAAAAATGAAAATGCGTTCATTATAGAATTGTGCCTTTAACTTTTGCGTCCAGCCTATCTTGACCGGATTTTAGCAGAGACAATTGCATCAGCCGGTGTGCACATCAAAAAATATTTTAACTTACTTCTTTACTATTGAGTAATAATTTCTTTTTTCTTAGTGAAATACTGAATATCCAGACGTTGTCTAACTATTGTAGATAATAAAACTATTTCTTATTTATGTGCTGTTCCAGAGTGTCACAGCACTCCTTCAAACAAATATTTCAACTGAAAAAATTGTACTAAATATTATTAATTCTTAATTGAATCGCCAGAGATAGTAGACCGATACCTGCTGTAAACTCTTATCGTTATATTTATCTTATCCACGGTATTTCTGCTTAAAATAATACACGCATGGGTTCGTCCACCATTAAATAATGCAGTGCCGTTTAGTCGAACTTTACTAAAATCATCCGCATCCACAACTCCCGCTTTTTCTAGATCTTTAGACAACAGAAGGCTTAAAGTCACAAACGAATATTAGATTCGTGCTCACCATCAATAATTGCTAAAAGAAAACTGTTTTTCATGCGAAAATGCGACTGGATAGGCGAAGGCAAGATCATTCTCTCACCAAAAACGAACTATTTGGTTGACGTTTCTGATAGTGTGATGTTTACTTATTTCTAATACGATTAGCCAACAAATTCTAAAACCTCTCTTGAGACTGATGGAACACTTCTGTTATTAAAGACAAAGACAGAAACCTGTTTGCCTTGGATGAATTTTCAATGACCGAAGGTTTCAATGCGGTGGATGAATTACTGTATTGATTTCAAACTTTTGTTATTCTTGGTTCTAAGCGGATGTTTTTCTAGACAAGCATAATAATGGATTTGATAAATAACTCCAATGTTTATCTGATCTGAACGGTCGCAATATTTAATATGGACGAATGTAAATATCTTAATATTGTTACACTATCCTAGAAAGAAAATGTCGCTCATTATTATCCTTTATATGGTTCACATCCTCCAAATTTACTAATCTATAAATAGTTTTTTATCTGGATTTCGTCTTTGCCAGCAATATCTCTATTTATTCTAATAGTTTTTCGAATCAAAGAGTGTTGCTTATTCCGTTATTGATGGCGATGGAAACTGTGCTGTTATCTTTTAGTTGAGATGATTACACTGTCAAAACTTTTGGCTGTTACCATAGGATTAATCTTTCTCGACTGAAATCGCTTGTCATTGACGGCAACAATAATTCATATTCATCAATTTTCGATCACATTCTAATATTTTATAATATTGTCGAAAACACAAGCGACATAAATAATTTTTATCAAGTTATAAAACGACTAACATACCATTATACGCTGTCAACAAGTCACGTACTTCTGATTGTCTAAGGAACAAACACCATTTAGTGACGAAACTACCATTTTCGACGAGTAATATTATTTTGTGGATTAAGCAAAGTCATAATCACATGCTGAGCGTTTAGAGGGAGGAATCACAATCAACACTATGAATGCACTCGTTAAATAGAAGTTATTCGAGGAACTGATTAGCGACAAATTATGATGATTTAAAAAAAATAGCACCGTTTAAGAACGACATGGATAAGTACTCAGTCTCAAATCGCTCACCTTAAACTATCTCATTGTCTTCTACTACGACTGCCATTTCAAGTTTAACGAAAAATAAATCAGATGCATTCATGATACTTATGTTAAAAAAATTGAGTTTTTTCAAAGAAAAATCAGAAAAGGCGTGACACTGACGCTTTTGACAGGTTTTTGTCACAATGTCACGCTTTTTCTGTTTTTTCTTTGATTAATACAGATTAATTAGAATAGTTTCGAACTTGACAAGCTATCATATCTTGTAGAGCAAACAGTTGTCTACAAACTGGTAGACTTGTTCAATTTTCACCTGTTCGTCTTCACTCTTTTAAACACGTTTTTCAAATAGTCCCCGAACCGATCTTTTGAGCTGTTTGTACAACAGCTGTATTTTCATTATGAATCACCGTTCAGAGCCGAGATACTTTTCATTTTATAGAGAAATGCTTAATCTACTCAATTATCTAGTTGCGATTTTAGATTAGTTTGTAGCTTTATTGAAATAATTTTTTGAAAAAGAGCGAAAAAAGGGGATCGTTAGCTGGATAAATCGTAGAATAGAATCAATCAAGATCAACTCTCTTTGCTGGCTTTATCCATATCTTTTATAAAATGAACAAGTCCTCGGCGTCTTCTTCGGCCTGAATAAATCTTTCCTGACTCCAATGTTACCTGTTCATCTGTTTTCTTTCTAAAATAGTATAACTTTTAGTTCGAGAACTTTTTGAAGTTTTATATTGAAGGTTTTTTATTGTTATTTCGAAGAAATTCCACACTTTTCTCCTCACTGCCTTTATAACAAACAATAACAAAATACGGAGAAAACAAAAACAATGATTAAAACCGTTTGATTACTCGTTGATTATTCATTATCAACATTTGCTGTCATTAGACCTATAACAAACAAGAATTTTATAGTTTTTAGAAGTAAAATCAAAATAAAACATTTACCTTTGAATGTTGGTACACGAACATAAGTAACTAGCGTATACAATTTATGTGGTGAATCTTCATCTTCATTTCTTTGACGTGCTAATCGAATACGTACACGATATGGAACGTGACTATACAAAAAAAATAAATAAACAATATACTATTAACATTCACATAGAAAAATGCCTCTGTCTTACTTGATTCCTTGTGACCATATTTCTTTATTTAATTTTGAATCAATTCTAACATCTGGTGTACGCATCATTTTTTCAGCAAAACGTTTTATTTCTTTAACAGCACGTGGTGCGCGTTTTTTAAATGCACTGAAATAACAACAGCAATAAAGTGAAAAAGAAAAGAGAGCAAAAAAGATATGCCACTTACACTCCATGTAAACGTTTATGCAGATTAATTGTATATTCTCGTGTAACAACTTCATTTGTTATTTGTTTTTTGTTCTTAGGTTTTGTAGTATTAGGAGCCATTTTTTGTTTTTCGTTTATAATATGATCTCAAGATCAAAACACTAACACCGTGGATCCAATTAATCTGAAATAAAATCAGAAAAAACAGAGTTAATGAGTGACAGATGGAAACCACTTTCGAAAATAAATTTTCACAGTGGAAACCATTAAATTAAGTTAAACTACAATAATTTGACTTGTAACATTAACTTACTCTTATTGTGCTTAACAGATATCAAACAGAAGATTGAAATCAAAAGATATGTTTTGTAAAAATTATTGTTTAATACATAAAGACTTTACCTGAAGCAAATAATGTTACACACTTAATTCAAACAAAGAAAAAAGATAAAACTAAAAATAAAATATAAAAACAAATTCAAAAAACAAAATTTGTGGTCAAGTGTATTGTTCTATATGTATATACATTCACAATAAATTAGAGAGAAACAACGATTGAGAGAGAGAAAGAAAATCCACAAAAAAATAAAAAATTTCTTCTTTTCAACAAGCAAACAGAAATAAGGTAGAAAAAAAACGATTAATTCACGTTCAAATGTCACACACACACAGAAACAGAGGACAAATGACTCATACTAAAGGATCGCACAACAGTATAAGACTTATAATATGTAGTGGCTAGTACGAGAGATGAAAGTAGTTCGTTTTCAAATTAAATTAAGATTTATAGAAAAAAAAAACGCTTTGGTTCGACTCGCTTTGGTGAGAAAATTACGGTTTGATTCGGAATGAATTTTTATTTTTTGAAAATATACAAAACCTTTTGCAAAAAGTTTTATTAATGGTCGTGATGAGTAATATATATTGATTAGCAGGTAAAATTGTAACTCAGAAACGAAAAGATAGACAAATGCAGTTTTTATTTTGTTCTTAAAACGTTCTTGCTTTTTAGTTGTGTACTATCTGTTAGACTGGTTGTCAAAAAACACAGAAAAATATATAGCTCAAAAGAACATAGAAATCGTGGAAAAGAAGTAGTCTGTATTACCTCAATACATTCTTTCAAAAAATAAATTCG